TTTTATAATTGGTTATTTAAACTAATGCAACATACTCAACAACACTTTACTTCCTTCTCCTACAGTTGCTGGTTTCTATTCTCGGATGGTTTACATGAAAAAAAAAAAAAAAGAAATAATAAAAAAAACCTCTTTCAAGAGATTAGAAAATAATATATATATAAAACGGTTTAGAAAAGCTTAGGCATGCGATACTTGTCTGGCTTAGTAGAAGTAATAATTAATGTCCTACTTTAATACGACCTTGTACCAATGTACAAGATTATACAGATCGCTATTAATTTTCTTTTATATACATATATATTATTCGTCGAAATAAATTGAAAATGAAAAGTTGAAGAAGATCAAAGAAATTATTGTTTTTTTTTTCTGTCTCTCTTTCTCTACTTTCTCCCCTTCTACCCCTCTTCACATCACGATAGTGTGTCATCGTGCCACACCTAACTGTTAATGTCTTCGATAGATGAACAAATAGATGGATCTATTGATCGTTAGATCGAAGAAATTTCTTTCTATTATGCAAGCCACGACATGATGCATGCTGCATGCTGCACATAGGAAAACTTTCTTTTATTAACTTCAACAGGACGTGATGTGTCAAGTTATTTTATATACTACACCCACTTCCGTCTATTTCTAATCCGAACTTCCGTCACCTTCATTGAATTGGGAACGTTGAACGGTAAATTTTTGTTTAAACGTACAAACTTACATCCAATTTTCTGTCAAACTAGCAAAGTTTTATGACGAAAATATAATAACAGCGGGGAAGGGGGGTGGGGGATGTATTTTAAACTTTGTTCTCAATCAAAATTTCAACACTTGTCATTTCATTATAATGGGGATTATTTTATCAAAATGTTAAGAAACAAAGTATAAAGAACAAAAAAGAAATAAAACGATTAACTCACACCTTCAGCATGGAATAATTTAATACGAACGTTTCATTTATTTTTGTCGTCGCATTGGAAAACAAGTCGTTGGAAAGATTCCCAAAGGATAAAACGATGGGCTCATGATGGGATGGGATGGGATGGGGGGAATTCGTTTAATTGAGAATTCCAAACGAATACGACGAGTTTAAAGTCCATGGCAATAAAACGCTCCTCGAGGAAGCTAATTGGATCTCGAGATTTCGAATCGACTCTCAAATTAACCCACACTCTTACTACCCTCATCACCTCCCCCCCCATCCTCTAGCCCCCCCCCTTCTCGGTAAGAAACTTTCATTCGATATGAGAATTAACTAATTCTCATTTGAAGAAGCTTTTTTTTCTCTTTGTCTTTCATTTTGTCTTTTTAACCAGAGTCAATTAAATCACCAAATTTATGATCCTAACTTAAGATTAATTCTATCAGAAGAAGAAGAAACATATCTCTAATGATCGTTATTACATTTCTTTTTTGTTCTTTTGACTTGTGTATAACTAAATCGTGAAAGTTTATACAAAAAATAAAAATAATAATACAATAACAATATTTAACTTGTTATAGTTGTTAATACGTTGTTATTGTTAAATAAACGTTTATAAATACAATATAAGAGATAAATTTTTCAATTTAATTATAAATTTACAAAGAAATTTGATGCGAAGAATTTAGAGGCAGTAAATATACAACACAACAACAAAAAATATCTAAAAAATATTGTAGATAAGTGATGAAGTTGGGGGCGGTGTGAGGGCGATGACGGGGGAGGGAATAGAGGAGAGGAGAGGAAATTAGAACAAGGAAGAGGAGAGGAGAGGAGAGGATAGAAAATGGGAGGAAATTAGCCAATGTTAGAAAATATCGTGATAAACTTGATAGTAAAGTAGGACGGTCGTTTAAACGATGGCATGCACATCTATATATATGTATGTATATACGTAACGATTTATAACGAGCACAACCATAATTTGTAACGCTTATGCGAACTGAATCGAATCAAATCGAATCGAATCGAATCGAATCGGTAAAGATCGAGATTTAATAATTTTTTTTTTTTTTTCCAAGAACACATTTCTCATCAACGACTATTTGCGCAGTAGTTTTATCATCGTTTTTAAGACTGAAAGAGAAATCTTTATATAAGCTTGCTTTTATATAATTATTATTATTATATTTGAGATTATGAAAGTATTAATAATATTTTATTATTATTACTTTTGTAAAGGAGATATAACGTTCAAAATATATAAATCATTTTCTCTCTTTGATCAGATCATTTTAAAAGATCAATTGAATACTAATAAATATAATCATTCGAGAAATAAATTACAAATGATTAATAATTCTTTGTTTGTTATTATAATACAAACAAAATATCTTTATATATAAACCATGACACCATAACTTTTGTTCTTTCGATTATCTCACGATGATTCAAAAGAGAAATAAAAATCTAAACCCAGATATTAATGTTCAAATTATAAAATGTAATAAAAAGTGCGTTACTTTTTGCGGTAAATAAATACATCCCGATAAGGAATCATGGCGTCATTCATTCGGTTGAAATATTCTCTCTCTCTCTCTCTCTCTCTCTCTTTCTTTCTTTCTTTATCTCTCTCTGTCTTTTTGTCATCAAATGGTGACCAAAGAAGGCGGATTTTAGGATCTCCGGTCCATGAAAACAAGCGGTTAACTTCGCGGTTGCCTTCTCGGTTGGTGGTGGTTCGGCCTAAAACGTGCGAGATATTTATAGAGCGCAGCTGCAGAATCGTGTGCTTCTCTCTGTGTGTTTTCTGCTGCCAGCCACTCTATGGGGAAACACTCTTCACCTCTCCTCTTCTTTTACCACCCCCACCCCCACCCCCTCTTATCCTCTCCCCATTCTCTTCCTCCTCCTTCTTCTTCTAATACTACACTACTATAACATCTACTTATTCTTACAGTCAAAGGATTACGTACAGACATACATACGTACACATAAACAAACACCACACACATACACCATACACATTTTACTTCCTTCTTCTTCTTCATCTTCTTCTTTAACTACTACTACTACTACTACTACTACTACTACTACTACTACTACTACTACTATGTCTTCTTATTCTTACAATCAAAGTATTACGTATACATATGTAGTGTGTGTACACACACTCTTCTTCTTCTACTTCTTCTATGTTACTTCTACTTCTATTTATTCTTACAATCAAAGGATTATAAGTATACACATATACACATAAACGTAAAGAATCATCATCTTCACAAATCGTAACTTAGGTTAGCAAAAGACATAACGGTCTTGTGAAAGCGTGTTACTTGTACATTTCTTACGTGGGTATATTATTCTTTCAGTTATCTCGATAAATATGGTCAAAGAATGAGAATAAAATAAAATGAAAAGATTATAAAAAGAAAAAGAAAATGAAGTAGTTGATTAAAGTGGGTAGGTGGGAATGGGGGAGGAAATCTTCTCGCAAAATGATCTTTCCTTTTTCGTTTAACTATTTAACTCAAGGATACGTTTACTTACACATGTGTGTGTGGTGTTATATAGTCTCTTTCTTATAAAAAAAACACAATTTAACAATCCCTAACGTAAAATCAATTCTGTTTAAGTCTTATATGAAATTGAAGCATCCCTTCCCCTTCCCTTTCCTCTCCTTCTTCCCCCAATTTAACTTTAAAAGAAACAAACGACCGAGGTGTTTCTTGGGAACTCATTAAATCCTAAACAAATAATTATACTTACCCCATATTTTCTCTTTCCCTGTGTTCCACCCTCCTCAACACCATTCGCTACCGAATAATCCTTTGTGTTTTACCTCCCTCTAGGGTCGTTTCTTTTTAACTGTCTTCAGTCAACAGGAGGGAATTGTACGTCTGTGTGTATCTTCTATAAAGACAAATAATTATGATGGTTTTTTTTCTTATTCTCGTAATTCGTCTTTAGTATTATTATTTATTTCATGACAAATAAGTTAATCTTCTTTTTTTAACTGTATATTTTATTTGATTAAATTGTTTCTCTATGAACCCCGTATCTACGATGGAAGTCGTTTACTAATGAACCCACCAGAATTTATGAGCTCATTTTTATAATATTCATATTTTTTATTATTTCATTTTGGTGAATTCGTTTGAATGTGAAATTTATATTTATATTGTAATTTATATTTTCCTTTTATTTTTTTTTTTGTTACGGTGAATAATGCGAATAAATTCCCTTTTTTTTTTTTTTTTGGACGAAACGAATTCGATCGGTTTTTTCTTTTTACATATTTTCATTTTCAAGGCAACAAAGAAGAAAGAAAAGAAACCTTTGAATTGCCCGACACAACATTCACCGCAAAACGAATGTGGTGGTCTCCAACCTTACCCTTCCCTTCCCCCCCCCCCCCTTTACCCCCGTTGTCTTCTTCGTCTTCTTCTTTACGAGGTAAAGTGAGAGGGGCGGGAAAGGGGAAGTGGAGGGCAACCCGCTGCCGTTACTTTCTTTCGAACAAATCGTCCAGGGTAAGAGATGCTACGACGACGACGACGAACGGGGGGAGAAAAGAAAAATATTGGAATGCACAAGCCGAAAGGGTGAAGAGAGACACGATATTATTTCCGTCCCGAAGGTTTCGCGTTTCACTACTGAAATATTTTCTCCTCATATTAGCAGTGGCGGCGGATTAAACGGTAAACGAACTAAGCTTGGACCCCCGTAGGGTTCTGGAATACCATAGGAGAAGGGGTCTTTACAAGTCTTGAAATTTGTTTTTTATTAGGGTTAGAAGGAAAGTTATGTTTTTTGAAATAAAATTTATGATCAGTGTGTTGCAGTATAAAATTATTAATTTCTTTTTTTGTTTTTTTTCTAATTTAAATCATAAAGCCCAGAAATTTGTATCACTTGGTGAGAGGGGAGGGACCCATCGTTTGACTTAATCCACCATTATTATATTACATTTTACTGTTTATTACACTTCGCCATTTTTATGCTCCGCCATATTATTCGTATAATAGAAAATGAATTAAAACATTAGAATCACTAAGATAAATAAAAGAAAAAAAATATTTTACAGATATCGCCATGGATTGGTCGGATCACGCTTTATGGTGGCCAGCACGGAATCATTGGTTGACAAGAACGAGAAGTACATTGGATCAGTATGGTGTTGCTGCAGATGCATTATTACATTTCACTCCAATGCACAAAACACTTCGTGTACAATTACCTGACATGCGTTCTGTGGATTGTAGGGTAGATTTTTCAGTAAAAACATTTAACGCAGTAATCAATCTCTGCAAAGAACTTGGCAAGTTTTATCAACTTTATGAATATTTCAATAGATAATCAATTATTATTATAAAAAAAGAAAAGAAATTATTTTAATAATTTGTATACATTTTAGGTATCCGACATCCTGAAGAATTGTCATTTTGTAAACCATTGGAACCGTCTCATTTGAAACACAATTTAAAAGATTTACCAACGAAGAAGAAAATTGAAAATCAAAAGAACGGTCATTGGAATGTACCAGCTGATACGAATACCTTTATCCCAGCAAGTCAAAGTCCCAGAGGATCAACAGGAAGCCTTGACCAAAGTAGTCCCTTCATGTGTGCCCCAGTTACACCCAGTAATAGGAATCACAGTACACCCATCAGTTCTCCGGTATCGGTTAGTATATTAATATGGAGACAGAGAAAATCAATTATTATCTGAGTTTTATAAAACTTTAATGTGATAATACTCGTGTTAATATAAAAATTGACTATATGTCAATTACAATACTAACAATTTTAATTAACATTTATATTATTTGTTTTGTTTTTTTTTTGTTTTCAAATAGAATGACACGTTAAAATCCTTACAGATTCAACATACAAGTACATGGAAAAGAAATAACAACTCGTCAGGTTTTGGCAGTACCGGATCTTTCAATGCAAACAACAGTACGATGAGTTTGGAAGCATTAAACGGTGGTTTATCTGAATCCCTTGCACAAAGTCCGGCTTCAATTTCACCGGAAGTACGCTCGAAGTTAATCAGGCCAAAAAGTCTCGTAGAAAGGGCAAGAATGAACGTAGCATGGTTGGATTCTTCACTTTCTATCATGGAACAGGGTATACGTGAATACGATACTCTAAGGCTCAAATTTAAATTTTATTCGTTTTATGATTTAAACCCGAAAACCGATGCTGTCAGAATCAACATGATTTACGAGCAAGCCAAATGGCAACTTTTAGCCGAAGAAATTGACTGTACCGAAGAAGAAATGCTCATGTTTGCTGCACTTCAGGTACATAAGAAGAAATCTTGTGTTATTTTTATTTTATCCTATTGGTCAAGCTTCATCTTTTATGTTTTTTTTCTTCTTCTTCTTCTTCTTTTGATTTTTCAGCTGTACCCCATAATCAAGAAAAATATTTCTTCGAAATTTAAACCTTCTTTCTAAAGAAATTCATACGATATTTCTTCTTCCAAACGTTTTTCCCACGAATTTTATAACGTAATCTTGTTTTTTCCTTTCTACTTGCATTCTCTTTTTTTTCTCTATTTGCAATCTCTCTTTTTTTTTTAATTTTATTTTGTAAGAGTATTCAGATAGAAGAACGGGTACTTTTTTTCTTTTTTTTAGGAAGACGCGTACGCTTATTTTCACTATCCAAACATCCGTCAGCAATGGTGTTAAATCGAATCCGATTCGTTACCCACGCGTGTTTACACACACACACACACACACATATACACTCGACAAGAACTTATCTTTATCTCTTGACTTAAACTAACGTAATCTGCACATGCCTCTTAACTTACGATATTTACTTTTTTTTCCCCTTTCTCTTTCGCGATATTTATCACGATGTTATTTCCATCGAATATATTATTATATTCCTATGTTAAAATTAATGAACATTGCTTTTTGTTTTTTGTATAATATAATTTCTTATTAAAACATTCCTAGTAAAAGTTAGTTGAATCAAAAAAATAATTGTCATATTTTTCCTAGGTTCAAGTAAATCTTCAAGCTAGTATGCCACAAACAAGTTACGATAGCAATGGTGCATCATCTCCCGTAGAAGACGACATAGATGCAGCATTAACGGACCTTCAGGTTACCCTCGAGGGTAGTAACATAAATAACGGTCCAAGTGACATCACGCAGGTGCCAGAACTTTGCGATTACTTGCGTTTCTTCAAACCAAAACGTTTCACATTGAAGGCGTTCAAGCGATACTGGTTTACGTGCAGGGATTTACAATTGAGATTGCACAAAACGCGAGAGGAAACAAATAGTTCGGATTCACCGGCATACGTCATTAATTTACGTGGATGCGAAGTTACGCCAGATGTTCATCTTTCTCAAGGTCGTTATGCTATAAGATTGGAGGTACCAAGTGCAGAAGGCATGACCGAAATGTGGATCAGATGTGATACCGTAAGTTGTATAATCATTTATATAATTTTATTTTCTAAAATATAAAAAGAAACATATAATATTTATTTATAATTCAAATCTCGTTCAAAATTAATAATTTGATAACGTACTTATTTAAATTAAAGTTTTTATATATATGTGTGTGTGTGTGTGTGATAAAGGAATAAATGTAATAAATTATAAAGTTAATGCATTTGAAAATAAACACTTACAATGCAACAACAACTTCATTCCCAATGTTTATTATTCAGGAACAGCAATATGCAAAGTGGATGGCTGCTTGTAGATTGGCAGCGAAAGGTCGTACATTAGCAGATTCATCTTACGAAACTGAAGTAAACAGCATTATAGCTTTTTTGCAACTTCAAAGACCTGCTCCAGCACCAGCGATAAATCCAAACTCTTTGGACATAACACCGGATGATTACGTTGCACCAAGATTCGTAAAGAGGCTTAAAGGAAAGGTATAAACACTATTTTTCGTTATTATATTTTTACTATACGAATTGTTTAACCACAAATATGTTTATTATCACTGAATAAATAACATAGCAATTTAATTTCAAATAAAAGTTTTGAAGGATTCAAAAATCCTCAGAACACTCAGAAGAAAAAAGTTGCAATTTGGAAATATTTATACAAAATAATTTTAAATAAACAAAATTCTAATTAATTTTAAATTATTTTCTTAAATATTTATCTAATAAATATTAGTTATTACTATAATTATATACTTATTAGTTAGAAAAAGTAATTAGTATTTTAAAACTTTGTTAACACTAGATATACTACCACCATTTTTAGTATTTCTACCACACTAGTCAAAATGAGTGGTGTATAAAAAAAATGCTTTTTGACCCTTCCAGTCTTTCTTTACTTTTAAAAAATAACAAAAAATGTTTAACAATAATAATTTTAATAGATAATTCGATTTATAGACATTTTGAAATTATTTACAGAATTCAAATGTTACATGTAGTAGAAATTTTGAACAAAAATGGCCCCGACCAGTCAAAATGACAGGTCTGGTATATCTAGTGTTAATAAATATTTCCAATTAGTTAACTTTGATCTCGTTTTCTGAAAATTTTGGATATCCTTTAGCAAGGTTAATAATTTATCTATCGATTTATCATACAAACGAACGGAACCCTTTAATCATGTTTCTTCAATTTCCATAAAGCTGGTTCATAGGATTTTAGAGGCTCACGCTAACGTAAAGGATTTGCCTTTGGTTGAGGCCAAATTGAATTACATAAAGGCTTGGCAATCACTTCCAGAATATGGTATATCTCTCTTCGTAGTTAGATTCACCGGTAAAAGTAAAGATGAGCTATTAGGTATTGCCAATAACAGGCTTATGCGAATGGAACTTAACAGTGGTGATCATTTAAAAACATGGAGGTATAATACTATGAAGGTAAGTTTGTATATTTTTCTTCTTTCTCATCATCCTCAAAGTTTCTTCTTCTTCTTCTTTTTTTTATTTTAATTTTTATTTAAATTATTTATCGATAATAAATAATCTTGAAAGTTTCAAATAAAAAATACTAAGAAAAATATTGTGTAATTGTAAGAAACAAATCTGTAATATAAGAATAATTTATATTTTTATCCAGGCATGGAACGTAAATTGGGAAGTAAAACACATGATGGTACAATTCGAAGAAGAAAATATTATATTCGAGTGTCAATCAGCTGATTGTAAAGTGGTACACGAGTTTATAGGTGGTTATATATTCCTATCGATGCGTTCAAAGGAAGCTAATCAAACATTGAACGAAGAAATGTTCCACAAATTGACAGGTGGTTGGCTATGAGTGAAATCTCAATATGAAGAAAAAAGTATGCTTTTATATTTTTAAAAGAATGTTCTATTATTCTATGGTTTTTTTCTTTTTTTCTTCTCTCTTTCTTTCTTCATAAATCTTACTTGAAAATAACACTGGCCATTGTCAGTGAAGGTTAATAGGAAAAAAAAAAGAAGGGAGAAAGAGGAATAAGACAAATATTTCTAAACAAAATTAATAATTAATAATTAAAAATACGATGGATAAAACGTTTGGGAAAAGTAAAATTTCGTATATTTAAAATAATGCTTTAGATGTGTAAATAGAAATATGAATTTAATCGTCCAAATGATGATTGAGAAATGCCTTCTTTATGAATTAATAATGCAACTCTGATCGTTTTATATATATATATATACACACATAGATCTTTTATCGTCCTTGAATTAAGATGCATTAGGATGAATAATTATGTAAAATAACGATCTGTCAAGAGATTAGAATTAAACAAATGCGGATTTTAATTTACGCATGATAATACTATACCAATGTACGGAACGTTTATATATTTTGATAACAAACGAATAATATTTTGTTGTTATCTTTCTCAACAACAACCTGCACGGACGATTAAAAGTAAAAGTATATAAAAAAAAAAGAAAAAGGAAAAAAAGAAAAATGATGTAGTTTACTTATTGTTTTACTTTAGATTAAAAGAAAAAACAAATTATATATATATATATATATATATATTATAACGATAAAAATTCTTTTATGCTTTTCATTGGTAATGGAACAAAAATGCAAAAGTTTCGACTAGACGCTTGTTGAAGAATGATCTTGTAAATTAATAATAATAATAACTTACGTTCTGCATAAAACATATTAATACGCGACCCGCCGATAGTGTGTTAATAATTTTCAGACGATCTGATTTATAATGTTTAAATCAGAATTTTTGTTTTTTTTTTAACGATTTGACTTTACCGTTAACGATTATTTATATATATATATAAATATATAATGTATACAATGAGTGTCTAGTCTATTTCACGCGTACCTTTATATAAAAAAGAAATAAAAAGAAAAGAAAAGAAAAAAAAAACAAACAATCACGTCTGTGCATAAGAAGAAGTACGGTATAATATTAATAATATTAATAATATTAATAATAATAATAATAATAATATTAATGATTTTGATTAATAAAAAAAAAATAATCATGAATTATTATTTCTAACGGCACGAGATATGTTTTCCCCAATTTAATAGAAGGTGCTATTATAATATTATGATACTGAGCGAGATTGATTTGTACCTTGCGATAAATAATAAAAATCGTGTAAATTATTTGTTATCGTTTTAACGTAGGTTGCATACAAAATACGCCAAAATTTTTAGTGTATCTTACACATTCGTGCTTGCGTGCGTGCGTGCATGAATATGTAAATGTATGTATGTATGTATGTATGTATGTGTGTGAGTGTGCAACTTACGTTAAGGAAAACTATATACATATATATATATATATATTAAAATCTATTTACTTATACCGTTATATACATTCTCTATATACGATATTACGTTATATGTATATGTAACCAGAAATTATAGTTTTATATGTTAGTAGAGTATAGTTGTACAATAAACTTAATTGATTAATGATTAACGAAGAAAAAATATTACGATTTTAATTTATAGTCGTCTTTATTCCAGGATATTTTAATTAGGCGACTTTTTAAAAAGGGTCTCCAGTTAAGAATCGTACGAAAAATATTCCAACGAATAAATTAGCACGTGCTTTTTATCTTTGATGATGATGATTATGATTATGATGACGATTGATGATATATATTGAAAAAGAAAAAAAAACAATTAAAATCTTGTTTCTTTTTCTATTTTCTATCTTCATTTATGATTTTTGATTAATTGTCTTTTATTTGTATTTTTTTGTCCCTTTTCTTTCTGCCGCCGTCGTCCACGTTAAACAAAGTTAAAAAATCGTGTAGATTTGTTTATTTGTAAAAAAAAATATATATATATATATACATAAAAATATATATGTATATATATATTCTTATCAAAAAAATAATACTTTCTCTCGTACTTGTAATAATCTGATTAACAAATATCAAACAACATGTTTAAAACACCTTCGGTTCGAATTTGGGATTTATATAATGAATATTCTTGATTCTTGATAATTAAAATGATCATTCAACTGGTATGGATGATTGAGTATCTTTGCCAGAAGTTCCAACAGATTTGACAGGAGTACTTTGATTTTCGGAATTTTTAAACTGAGCTAAACCTTTTGAAGTAGGAAGATTTCCGGTTCTGGCAATGGAACTTGTAATAGTACCGCCACCAACACCACTGCTCACCTATTTTTAAACAAGTAGTTTATGTGATGATCTATGTTCATTTTTATCTCTATTATGTTAAAATAACTGAATGATCATGATCTATCGTTTATCGTTTTTAAAGAGTTTCAAGTAGAATAACATGTAACACCCACAACGTGAATGTCTATTAATAAACTACGGTAATAAGATAAGAGTAATCAAGAAACGAGTGAGAGATGATTTATCTAATGCAGGCCTCTTTTTCAAATCTGAACAAGACACAAGTAACTTCTGATCATTTTTATCGTATAACCATTGTTTTTCTCTTAGTTTTTCAAAATTATTATTAATTATAAAATGATATTTACAAGTTTCAACGAGTTTTATATATATTGTACTTATAATATATATAATATTGTAGGATTCGTGAAAAAAAATGAACCTAATTGCAATTCCAACTAGGATTTTACGTTTTGTATTTTCTATTCTATCCTACAATATTATATATATAATAAAAAATGTAGAGAGAGAACACGAACCTGTGGATGAATAGGTGGTGCCGAATGAACTAATCTGCCTGCAAGAGAATTGACTTTTTCCTTTTTGGTGCGTACCCATTCATGACCAAGTACTCTATCAAGAGTTAGCCTAAGGGTGATATCCGGTTCAAGGATATGTCTAACAATACTCTTCGCCGAGGTTGAAACAGCTTCTCGTACTCGAGATCTGAATACCCAATTCCTTGACATTTGATCTTTCAGAAGTTTTCTCAAATTGGAGTCATCGAAAGGCATCGACGCATTCAACATGATAAAGAGAATAATACCGAGTGACCAAACATCAGCTAACTTAGGATTATACGGTGTACCGGAAACAACTTCAGGCGCAGCATAAGCGGCAGATCCGCAATAAGTTCTACTTAATACTCGTCTACCTTCGTGATCTACGCAAAATCTTGCAAATCCAAAATCAGCCAATTTAACGTTAAATTTTCTTGACAAGAGAATATTCTCGCACTTTAAATCACGATGAGCTATATTCTTGCTATGAAGATATTGCAATCCCGATGCCATTTGACGAAACCATAATTTGGATTGTTGTTCGGGTACAACACCATTTCTCGTTACGAAGTCCAATAGATCACCGTTGTCAGCATAACGCATAAAGATGAAGACTCTTGGTCCACGTTGCAATATACTATGGACCTGTATTTACGTATTAACATATCCAATCGATCGAAGATACAAATATATATATATATATGCATGTTAATTGATTAATCAAAGTTGGATTGTGTGTCCCCTATTGAACGAACGTTCTCATAAAGAACGTATCTTACTTGAATAATATGAGGATTTTCGATTTTCGTTAATATCTCCAATTCCCTAGGAAAAAACTTCTCGAGAAAATCGGGCGGTGCTTTTTCCTTGTCAAAGATTTTACAAGCCAATCGCATTTTTTTCGAACTTGTTCCGTCGACATATTCGGCCAAATGTACAGTGGCATAGGAACCCTAAGCGATGATATTATATTTCATACTATTTTATAATACATATTTAACTTAATCCAATGAAAATCTGTTCTTATACAATTGTAAACGGTAGAACGGATTAATTAGCAGGAAATAAAAAATAAGAGAGAATAATGAAAGGATAAATAGCGTTTTAACAACTTCAAGAGGGATGAACATCTAAATACAATCTTTCTTTGTCCCTAATATAAGGGAGAAAATAAACAGCAAGGAAAACCTGTCCGATTTTCTTGCCGATCAAATAGCCCCTCTGTTCAAGTGCGTTTACTTCCGAATTTCGAGGGCTCAGTCGTGTGGCCATGCCAGTGATTCTTCATTGGGGGTTGTTCACCAATACTCAACACAATAGGCAACCATAAGGATCAAGCTTTTGTTTGCTTGTTAAAAGATCTTATTAATATCCAAATGATTCCTATGCTTTCCTCGTTAGTTCTTCTTCTTCTTCTTCTTCTTTCTATATTTTATCTTTTTATTTTGTATCTATCATACCCTTACTCTGTCACTGTCACTTAACAAAATTTCAAATTATCTCAACATGGACAGAACGGGGTATAATTATGTGAACCGAAGGAGGTGGATAAGCAATTTCTTTTACATTAATAATCCACTCACGTGGATACGTTTTGTCATTTCAATTAGCTAAGGTCACTAGAATTTTGTACGTTGATATACCAGCTTGTTGAGCTTGGTGTGGAAGCGGGGCAGAGAAAAAATTCGTGTATCATTCGAGCGTAGCCATTATACGGGAAAAACAATATACTATTGATTTACATTAACGCTATTTTCATGATTATTTATCGATTTTGCGATATATCTTTGAATTTGATGGATCTTTTTCTATTGGTCTTCATAATTTATCGATTATTCGAATTGAATTTTTTTTTTTTGTATAAAGAATTATCTGAAAAATTATAAAGTTATTTGTATTATAAAGAGATAACAAAATGATATTATTAATAAATACATTTCATATGTATCTGTACATTATTTAAATTTGAAATTACGCGGGGTATTAATGTTGCCACTACTGAATTCCGTCTGACAGATGGCGCGCATCATTTCTTCTGCAGTAGAGAGGTTAGTTCATTGTTTATCTAATGGTTTTGCAATATTTATTTTAATATACTATAGTTGTAAAAGTATTTAAAATGCATTAATAAGTGCATAAGAAATAAATTCATAAGAATGTGTATGTTATTATAATTTTTTCATGATAACACGAGAATTACATTTTTAATTATAATTTGCAGATAAAACAGAGAGTGGCAGAAGAATAGTCAAAGAGAAGACAAATCTTGAAATAAACCTAAAGTAATAACAAAAAAAGAAATTAATGTAAGTTTTCGAATACATTAAAGAAGAACAAAAAAATATATATATATACAAACTTAATATCACATTTTGTAAATGATATCGTTGAATTATGTATCATAAATTGAAAAAGTAATTAATCAAAATAATAATCCTCATATATAATGTCGAGAAGTACATTAAATCTTTTAAACAAATTTGTTTTACGAAATTGTTTACAAAGATATAAGATTGTTAATGTAAAACAAATAGAAAATCGAACGTACACTTCTAATGCTCAACAATCCAAAGAAAGAATTTTAGAATGTTTAAATGAAAGATCCGTATTACGTGTGAGTGGAAATGAATCAGCTTCATTTTTACAAGGTTTAATAACAAATGATATAGGACATTTACACGAAGGTTCTGCGAGTATTTATTCTTTATTTTTAAATGTCAAAGGTAGAGTTTTGTTCGATACAATTTTGTATAAAAGCAAAGAAGATAATGTTTTTTACATAGAATGTGATACTAAAGTAACCAAATCTTTAGAGAAACATTTAAAGATGTATAGGGTAAGAAAAAAGATAGATATATCGTTGTTAGATAAAGATATGAAAGTTTGGTCAATGTTTGATCCAACCGAGATTATTATTGACGATAAAGAAAATCAGAATGATACTTTGGAAGGTTCTATTTTTCCTTGTGGTACTAATAATAATAAAGGCAGCAAATTTATAGACAATGTTATAATATGCGAAGATCCTAGATCATCCAGTTTTGGTTTAAGAATTCTTGCTGAATCAAATATCGAAAGATCTGAAATTATCAAATATTTGGATCCAAATATCGCAATTTGTCAAGATGCTTTCAGTTATAAGGAATATAGATACAAAAATGGTCTTGGCGAAGGTGTTAATGATTTACCACCAGGCAAACCATTACCTTTAGAAATCAATTGTGATTATTTACATGGTGTTAGTTTTTACAAAGGCTGTTATATCGGACAAGAATTAACAGCTCGTACTTATCATACTGGCGTAGTAAGAAAACGTTTGCTACCTTTAATGTTTGATCAAATTCCAACTGTATCTTTTGAATTCGATGAGAAAATTATTGATGAGTCTGGTAAAGTGATAGGCAGTTATCGGGGACATATTAATAAACACGGTTTAGGATTAATGAGATTGAATGAAACATTTAATGCTAAAAAAATTGAAATACAAGGATATCCAGTTAAAATAATAAAACCTGTGTGGTGGCCACGTGATTCTAAAATAGGTGTATCTACTCAATAAACAAATTAAATTTAATTCATTATTTTATTTATATTATTATTATTATATGTGGATTATATAAGCGTTATAAATAAAATTATTATAGCTTAATGAAAATGAAATCAAATGTAATAATTCTAAATTTTATCTTCATTTTTATTATCTTTTTTGTTTTCTTGTTTTGTTTTTTTTTTTTTATAGATGTCTTCTATTTCAACGATACAAGAATCTAAGGAAAAAACGAGAGAAATGTTTAAATGTTCTTTCTGCCCTTTACAAGAACATTTTGATTTTAAGGGCTCAAAAGCACCTTTCGCACGACACATCGTTTATTCAGAGGAATGTTATATCATGAAAGATCCTTTTGATTTATCTGCAAAAGGTGTTCTAGTTATAGGTGGCGATTGTAATATTTGCACAAAACCAGTTTGCTTAGGATGCAGTATATTTTTTACTAAAAGATTTTGTCATAATTGCGCTGTCAATAATTCGGATAAATTACCATTACAAATTATTTCCAAAATAAAAACGTAATAAATCAATGATATTATAAAAATCATCATCATATTATTATTATTATTATTATTATTATTATTATTATAGCATTGCAAAAAAACATCTAATTGATTTTTTGATATTTATTTCGTAGAATATTTTTAAAGTACAAGTTTTAAGTTAAAATTCTACATTATTGCGAAAGAAAATAACTGCGTCTGTAAATTATGGGTTTAAAAAAAAAAAAAAAAATCAATTATTTTCTTATTGTTTTACAAGTAATTAAAAAGAGATATTCTTGAGAATAGTTATAAACATTGAGAATAATAGATCTTAATGTTAATAAGATTATAATAATTGTATAATGCTAAAATGTATTTCATATCGTGCTGAAACCTAAAAAATGAAAAGAAAAATACGATACAAAATCTATCCGCATAAGATTTTGTAGTAGATTTAAATAGATTCTGTACATGGATGAAGAGAAAAATCTCACAAATTTAATTAGAAATTCTATACTTTCAACAAATTGTGATTTGGCTTAGACTTCTTCTTCTTTTTTTTCTTTTCTAGTGTAGCTTTCTGTCCTTGAAAAGTAGTAGCTGCTACCTTTTCTGATTTATTTGGGCTGTTATTACCTTTTTGTAATTTGTTCTTCTTAGTTTTCAATTTCTTATTATTATTTTCCTGTAACCATAAAAAATCTCTTATAAAATTTGTGATATTAATATAATTAAAGTAAATATAATAATATTTACCTTTGGAGAAGTAGTTTCATCGGAATCACTAGATTTGAATTTTTTATTAGGTTTATCTTGATTTTTAAGTGTGCGTGATCGTTTCAATTTCTTTCCATTTTGATCATTTAAAGAATATCGTTGAACGCGAATCTTTCGATCTAATAATGTTGATCCATTTAATTCCAATGCTAAAGCTACAGAATCTTCATTTATGAAATTAATATAACCTATTCCTTTTCCTTTACCCAATGTTTTACTTCTAATAATTCGTACTGAATGAATTTTTCCGCATGGTTTGAAATGTTTCCAAAGATCATTATCCTCGATTGCTAAAGAGATAACGATAAACATTAAATAAAAGGATACTTTAATAAAAATATAATAATAAAGAAAATAAATAAATCTCTATAGGCTATACTTACTGAAAGGTAAATTTCCTAAAAAGACGGCCTTCTTTTCATCAGGTTTTTTTCTTAAATCCTTTTTAATATAATCTACTTTCAAATAATTTCCTTTAAATTGTTTGCCATTCATGCTAGTTGCTTTTTTAGCACCTTCGTTTGATTTAAATACAATATACATAATAATAGAATTAGTTACGGAATCATATTTTTTTTTAATAGCAGCTACTTTTTTCGGCATTTTTGGATCTTTAGGTATTATGCCTCTTGCTCTTATACTTTCAATTGCACCGAATTTCTTAAATGCTTTCATTACTTCTTCTTTTTTTGTTTCTTTCGGAATATTGCTGACAAAAATTGTTCTAGATTCTTTACCAGATATATCATCTTCAGATTTAGATTGTTCTTCATTATCTTTTGTAATGTTACTAACCTTTTTTTTGTTATGTGTTTTACCTATGTCAGAATCTGATTCATCGCTAATATCAATATCTTCATCATCTTCATCTTCTTCTTTGAAATCTTCATCATCGTCATCATCGGTAGCAATACTATTCGCTAAAAGAGCTTTCAAACCTAGAACCTCTTCTTCCTCATCATCCTCATCCTCATCATCATCATCATCATCATCGTCATCGTCTTCACCTTCATCATCATCTTCATCAAATTCAATTTCATCATACTCATCTTCACCAAACATAAAATCTTCATCATCCTCCGAATCATCATCAAAATCAAAATCATCATCATCATCTTCATCATCATCATCATCATCATCTTCCTCTACTTTACCTTTATTATTTTTAGTCAAATTCTTTGATTTATTATTAACATTATTCGTATTTTTGTTTAAAGCTTTTGATTTTTTAGTATTAGCTTTCAAATTGAATTTACCATCTAAGTCTTCATCGCTTTCATCATCAACATCATCAGTAGAATCGTCTTCTTCATCTTCATCTTCTTCATCATCATCATCATCATCATCATCATCGTCGTCTTCATCGTCAATATTTTGAATTCCTTTGAACATTTTGACTCCTTTATTTAACGAAACAGAATTATCTGCATCGCTATTGTACTCGTACTCATCTTCATCAGGTTCCTCGTCTTCGACAAAATCGGTATCATCTTCATCAGTACTATCTGCCAAACTTTTTCCTAAAATATCTTTTATATTAATATTACTATCGTTTGCTGAAATACTGCTACTATCACACTCAGTTACATCTTCACTTGTATCATTCAATGATTCATCAAGTTTACTTTTCTTCGATGACAAATTCTTATTGTTTTTAACTAATTGTTTGTTAGATTTGTTTTTATTCTTTTGCGGAGAAGCATTATTATTATTATTATTAATCTGTGCTTCCAAATTCTTTTTTGGCTTTTGTTTATTAGATTGATTTACATTGTTCTGATTATTTTGTGCTTTTTTGTCATTGACCAAACGCACTTTACCAGTTGGCGTATTAACAAATTTATTATTCTTATTTTTATTTTTATTTTTATTTTTATTAATGGCATTATCCTTGATGAGTTTTGATGGTTTTTTCAAAGCTTCATTTTTAGCTTTTGAATTAGATTTAACTTTAGTCATTTTGTGTTTTTGTAGAAAATATTATAATATTATAATTATATATGCTAGAACAAATAAAAAGAACAATATTTATTTAAAACATATATTGAAAATTAAGATATATATATATATGTATATATAAATATATTTTTCATTGATAATAATTTAACCTAATATTTGAATAATTTGTTACAATTTTTTTTTTTTGATAAAAACCGGTAATGTTAGGTTTAGTGTTAATACCTTGATTTACAAAATTTTATATTAATATTATATTTTTGTGATATTAATTTACATCTTATAAATCAAAAGGTTAAATATATATATATGAAAAAAAAAAAATATCAAGCTAAAGGATTATAATTATTTAATGATTAAAAATTTCAAAATGTTACAATACAGGTTACCGAATGCACGTGTACGTTTTTAGGAGGGAAATTGTAAGGAATACTTTGAAAGAAAAATCTAACCGATAAACTAAACAACAATAGATCATTTGAAATGTTAAATAAATAGTAATAATTACCTTGGAGCTATTTGTTTAATAATTAAGACAATTATTTAAAAAAATAATTGTTAATTTTTATATTAATTCTCACTTCGACAAAAACCGGTACTGTTCCGTTGCAAAGTAAGACTCAAAATGGACGAAAACGGTTACTCCGAATCGGTAAATCTAATCATTTTTACCAACCTTTCAACATTTTAAAACAAATTTATATATCTACAAGCCATCTAAAGAAAAACGATTGAAGATAAGTTATATACTTAATAATATAAAATTTAATTAAGGGAAAGATTATGCAAAATTTTTAATCTTTCTTTAAAAAAAAATGAAATCACAATTAATAAGAGTTTTTATTAATGCAATTAAGTTAATAAAAGTAATTCAATTGATTCATTCTATCACTTAGGAATTATTTTATCTAGTAACGTTTAGAATTGCTTATTTCATTTAAAACGCGGTATATTTGAATGTAATTTTTATTGATTATATTTAAACAATTATGACGAAAATTAAAGGAGAAAAAAATGAACAAATAATAATAGTAATTAGTGTGTCTGCATTTTCTAAGAGACACAAATATTTTTAGTTATTAGAATAAATACGGATCAAGATTAAAAAAGAATATAACGAGTATAGTAACAATTATATCATTTTCTAGTCAAAATGAACATTGTGTATTTTGTACGATCTATATTAAAGATATTTATTTTTTCTTAGAATAAATAATGTCTCATTATCTTCATGATTGCGTATACTTATGTAAAATATTGTTAATTTAATTTTATAAAGTTACTGTACTTTTAAAAATAACTGTACTAGGGAAAAACGTGACTTCCTTTTGGTATCACTCTAATACGTCACTGCATCACGTGACACTAGTTGTATTACACTAGTGTCGTTCGCGTTTCTAACCTTATTTAATTTTGACAACTATTATTATTACTTTCTTGCATTGTCATTATAATATTTTTACATTTGACAAAAGTGATTACAGTAATTTATATAACAGATTTATATAAAACGTGTCATCATATGTGCAATTTATTGCTACGAAAAAATAATTATTATTTGTAGTAAGAAAGTATTATAGGTTATTAAAAGGTAACACAAGAGGATAAGGTTATATTTATATATTTGATAAAATTAATGGCAAATTAAATTGTATTTTAATAAATTTCTAAAGAAGTACATTACACAAAGAAAAAATGTCCGAACGTAAAGTATTAAATGTAAGTATAATTCAAATAGATATATTTGTGATAGAATCATATGCATTTCATTATTTGCATTGAACATTAATCATATATTATGTATTTAATTAGAAATATTATCCGCCGGATTTCGATCCGTCGAAAATTCCGCGCATGAAATTGGCGCGTAATCGACAATATACGGTTCGTTTGATGGCACCTTTCAACATGAGATGTAAAACTTGCGGAGAATACATTTACAAAGGGAAAAAGTTTAATGCACGTAAAGAGGACGTAGAAGGGGATGATTATTTAGGAATACGTATTTACAGATTTTATATCAAATGTACACGTTGTTTGCAAGAGATATCATTTAAAACTGATCCTAAGAATACGGATTATGAAATTGAAGCTGGTGCAACGAGAAATTTTATGGCATTGAAATTAGCAGAGGAACAAGCACAAAGAGAGGAAGATGAAGAAAAAGAAGAAGAAGCTACCAATCCGATGAAACTTTTGGAAAAAAGGACGCAACAATCTAAACAAGAGTTAGAATTATTGGAATCGTTGGAAGAATTAAAAGACCTCAATCGACGTTTATTGCAATCGATTGATTTTGAAGAAATGATAGGACAATTTAATACGAGTAAAGAGAAGGTAGAGAAAGAACAAGAGGAATTGGATGAACAATACATTAAATCGGTATTTGGTAATAAAAATCAAAAAGGTGTTGTCGTTGAAGAAGAAATTGTGGAATTGGATGAATGTGGTCCTCCCAAAAAAATGTTAAAAACAAAAATGAAAGATAAACATAGTAATAATTTAGATTCAAGATTGGACGATGCAGAATCTAAAGAAATTGTAAGTTAATATACACACTATTATGAGTAAAAAAAGTTTTGCATCATCACGGTTAATACTGGATATTAGAGGTATTGGTGTGTACTGCAATCTGGACGATCAACTTTCTATTCCATTTGTATGTAAAGGTTGCGGAACTCTTGGAACCGAGATGATGTACAATTTTTTTTGATATGTGTATACCTTTGTGTTTTATTCATATATTTTGAAATATAATTATAACATGTTTTATTTATTTTTCAACAGAACGATAATAATTTATCGGGACCATCTACAAGTACGTGTACAACTGCCAAAAGTTCAGTATTTTCAAATGATACCAAGGCATCGTTTAATAAAAAGAATTTAACTCTTGTTAAAAAGAAAGTCAATTTAGGTGTTAAAATTAATCAAAGTAATAATAATAATAATAGTAATAATAATAATAATAATGAGAAAAATAATGTTTCAATGAAAACTGTTAAGTTGCCGGAAGTTAATACAGAAACGGTTAATAATGTTAGTGAAAATACAGTGCCTAGTTCCAGTAACGTTGGAAATAGTCTTTCTTTATTAACAGAATATTCCGACAGTAGTGACAACGACAGTAATTAATGCAAGTAATATCAATTAATTGCATTTAAGATAAATTAAGACTTTCATAATATAAATATATATTGTACAAAGTAAAACGTGTATATGTATAGTGATTATATAAAATGATTCTAAAAAAAATAGAAGAATTTGATTGAATGTATATATATTCTGGTAAGAATATAAATAAAACTTTGTTACACGTAATTAATTTAAATCAATTTTTGGCTATGTAAATTAATTATTCTGTAGATAAACAAAAAGATATATCATCAGTGGACTTACTATCAATTAACAAACAAAAATTCATACAATTGCGTACAATGGTTTTTTTTTTTTTTTTAAACGATATCAAAAACGAGATATGTATTTAAAATTCTTCTAAAAAATATTATAATTTTACAGTGCTAGTAGTAAATGGCGATGACAAGAATGTTTCTTACAGGATGCCAAACCCTCTACTCCTAAAACACAAAAACATAATAAATCAGGCAAGTTAAATTAATAGTTGGTCTGTTTCAAAGGCTAGGCACTCTGTAAGGAACAATTCGGTCTTAACGCCAATGATGATTTCAGGAGGAGAAGGAGGAGGAGTACATAGCCTATCAAAACAGACCACACTGTAATAATATATTTAATATATTTTTGTATAATATGTGTGTTTCATTAATTTAACAGTACAAAAAAATGAAATTAACTTTTCAATAAATTATATTTTAATGTATGTATGTATGTCTTTTTTTTTTTCTTTTCTTTTATAGGACGAGATATATATATTTATATATACTTATCAATAATATTACAGAAAAATGACGAATAAAAATATATTTTGATGAAGAATTAACTTCAAATTTGTACAAAAGAGCAATTGTTGTATACGTCTTATTATTATTATTTTTTTTTTTATTTATATTAAAAGCATCAAACTTACACGAACATATGACACGAGGAAGAAGAATGTTTGATTTAATTGTTTTTTAAAGAAAATCGACGAGAACGGTGATGATGATGATGATGATGATGATCGTCATTATCATTATCGTCATGATTATAATTGATTCTATCATTAATTGTATTAACGTTTTCACTTATATTACGTTTAATATGTGAATCATCGATAACATTAGAACATTGCAATCGTTCTTCCAACGATGATAAAGAATTGCTATAAAAAGATGAACTATTTAATTCATCGGATAAATAATTATCAACAATCTCATGTTCAGTTGTATCTAAAAGCCAATTGTACAAAGATTCGCGTATTTCTTTATTAGAATGATTATTTTTATTGGTGAAAAATAAAACTGGTTCGCGAAATTGTCGTCGTTCCTCGTGTCGACGACAACGTTTGCAAATGTAAGTTTTATTATCATCATCGTCATTATATTCACGCGTTTTAGAATCCGATTTGGAAAATGGAAATAATTTGGATTTAATTTCTTTATTACGTAATAAACTTGAACTACGCGTTGTACGATTACAATGACGAATCATCATAGATGGTGATTTAATTGAAGAATGTAACGTCAATGAACGTTGTAAATTTGACGGCATCATTGGACGTAACAATGCTCCTTTGTAATTATTCGATAATTTGGAATATGATTTTGGATTGTTATCGTTCTTGGTCGCATTGGACTTCAACATTGACGACGAAGAACGTTTCCTGACATACCGATGATCTCTGTTTTTTTCCTGTAATGCCAGTTCCAATTGAGCTATACGATTCTCCAAACGTGTTCTCTGTGCCTGCGCATGATCCTGATGATCTTCCATTTGTTTAACTATTTTTTCCAAACGTAATATCTGCATCTGTTTGTTTTCTAATGTTGCGTACAATTCTTGTATGGCTTCTGTTTTAGCGATTATTTGTTTGTTTATCTTGAAATGTAAGAAAAACAAGAAAATTATATATTAGTATAATTATATTTATAATATTTGTATGCATTCGCTTTCACGTATTGTATATATTATTTATATATTTAATATATATTTTATAATAATTACAATAATTGTGTGTGTATGTGCATATGATTCTGTGGTGGTATTTAATTATTATTATTATTATTATTATTATTTTAATTAGACCGTGATAGCGAATGTATTAAATAATAAGAAACAAAAAAGAAGAAGGTAAATTACTTCATCAATATCTTTATGATGTTCGTCATCGTCGTCATTAGAATGATCTTTATCAATTTGATTATTTTTTCCTTTTATAAGACTCAACAACTCGTCCCTAACTTTGAGAAATTTACTTTGTTCTCTCATTATACGATCACGTTGTTCAAGCTCAAGTTGCTTTTGCGTAAGTGCTGTCTCTAACTCGGCAGTATGTGATGTTGCATCTGCTAAACTATTACGAAGATCGGATATCTGTTGTTGAAGTTCAATAACAAGAACGTTAACCGCAGTTTTACCACCCTCTTTCATTTGTACTTGCAAACGATTTTGTATCTCTTGAATTTGTTCCTCCAATGCTTTATTACGTTTTTGACTGAATTAATTAATTAAAAATATTTATATATATATATAAAATTATGTTATGAATGAAACATAATTGAAAGAAAGAAACAAAAAGTAGATTATATTAATATAAAAATTATTATAACATACAGATTTTCGTTAATTTGTTGCAAATGATTACGTTTCATCGTAACTTCACGAATTTCTTTAGACTTGATCATAAGTTCTGCTATTAATTTATTGTTAGATTCGTCCTCGGCGTTATTCTGTTATAACATAAAATAAAGAGAAAATATAATAGATCGTTAATTGATTAGATATCTTACCGATTAACATTTTTTTTTTTTTTTTTAACGAATTTGACGATGATAGAGTGTGTTTTATATATATATTTTGTTGTTGAATATTTTTATGGTTTGTAAAAAGACATGTCTCGAAAGTAATGCAAACTAACAGCCGCTTGATGCATCACCGAAGTTATTTCTTCCTTCTCCTGTTGTAATTTCATTATAGTTACTCTCTGTTCTTCAAGTTCCTCTCGTGCAAGTTTTAAATCGTTGAACAAACGAAGCTCGTTTTCCGTATGACTGCCGTCTTCGATTTAAAATAAGAATAAAACAAAAATCAAATAAAAGAACAAAGAGAGAGAGAGAGAGAGAGAGAGAATATAATTCGTGACAAAGTAAAATAATTGTATGTAAAAAAAAAAAAAGGATTTGAAATAATGATATATCCTACCTGTTATCGCAAAACTTTTATTCTGTTCCAAGAGTTTGCACATTTCTTGACTCGTTACTTCAAGTTCTTTGTAACGTTCCTGCATTACGGTCAATTCTTTTTCCACTGTTTGCCTATTAAAATTCTAAGAATAATCTCAAAGAATAATTATAATTAAATATGTATATATTATTATAAAAATTATATTCATTATATTATTATGAATTTTTGATATATTTAACATACCAAATAATATTTTTAATTTAATTATTAAAAAATTAAACAAACATATCCATACACACATATATAAATATAAATATAAGAAATACATTGATAAAGATTCCCGATCGAGCTTGAATTTTATGCACGACAGATCAAATAAAGTAAGTGGCATTATAGTATCAAGGGCTTTGGCCTACTGATTTAAGCTACTTATGACTTTAAAGAGAAAGAGAGAAAGAATATAGTGCTGTATGTGCACTTATCGAACAGAATACAGGATGAACATCATCGCATATATCCAACCTATTCACTTTTACTTGATCGAATTCAATGATAAAGTCGTGTTGTTTTCAACGTTACGATTTAATTTTATTCCACAATTGTGTATTTCTTTTTTTTCTTTTTTTTTTTAATATCAAATCAGGTAACTCGATCTTTTATCTGTCAATATCAAGAAACCCTGATGGAAAATCTTTTTCGACAAGGTAGAAAAAAGTAGAATTGTTCACCCTAATATATTAAATGCTTACGCCAGCAACCAAGTAATTCGAGTCAGTATAGTAGGTTTTCTTTCTCTCTTTTTTTTTTCTTTCTTTTTTACCTGTCTCAAAAAAAAAGAAAAAGAATAAAAAAAAAATACGTTTCTTCTTACCTTTTTTCTTTTTCCAGATTGATTTCGACGATCATGGCACCCAATTGGTCTTTCATGTTTTTCATGGCATTTTCAGCAGCTAATTCCTTACAGTTCATAGTTTCCTTCAATTCCATCAGCCTGAAGCAATTTAATCGAAGAGAAATATACCGTGTAGAGATAAAAAAAATACACTTTAAATTGATATATAGATAGATAGATGGATAGATAGATAGATAAATAGATAGATAGATATATAAAAGACAAAAAATTGATTTTCATAATGATTGGCTATTCGGTAAAAACAAAGAGAACAACCGTGCTTCAAAACTGTCCCGTTGTTTTTCCATTTTCGTAACCAATCCTTCGCTGTTCCTTATTGTCTTTTGCATATCCTTCAAACGTTGTTCCATAATTTGTTCCTTCGTTTTAATTTGATTTTCCAATGATTTATTTTGCATTTGTAATTGTTGTATTTTACTTTCGTCATTTGTTATTTTATTTTCAAGATCACGAATTTTGCCGCGCGATCTTTGCAATTGTATTTCATTTTGTGTACGACGTTCTTTCGTTAAATTATGTTTATTACGTTCAATTTGTAATTCTTCGGTAATAATAGTCAATTTATCACGTATATCTTTATACTCGTCCAAAGTTTTGGATAATTCTTTCATACGTGTACGACAATTTTCATATTCGTTGTAAAAATCCTGAATATTTTTCATCAATTCTTTCATCATATCTAATTGAATTGTTTTTATTTCTTCCAATTGCGACTTCAACGCAGTATTGTCTTTACGATAAGATTCAATACGCATTATTATTTCCCTATTAAAATCATTAATATCTTTTTTCGATTCATCAGTAATATCGTTTATATTATTTTCCATCGTTACGATCATAATGGAATGTTTTTTTAATAAATCATTGCAATAATGTTCGTATAATTTGGTTATTTCTTTTAATTTGTTGTTAAACGTTATTACGTATTCATTGTTAATATTATTAATATGATTATTTATTATTGTATTATTATTATTATTATTATTATTAATATTAATTGTTTTTTGTTCGTTAGAATATATTTGTTGTTGTTGTTGTTGTTGTTGAATTTTTGGTAAAATTGTTTGAATTCTGGACGAATCGATTTCAATGATTTTCAATTCTTCCAATTTTCCAGGATCCTTTGCACCATTTAATATCATTTTATCACGTAATTGTATTATATCTTGATATAAATCTTGTGTGGTTTTCTGATGAAGTAAAAAAAAAAAAAAAACAAAATTTACAAGTTAATAATATATTATAAAATTAATAAAAAAATTATAAAATAAAATACAAAATAAAATTAAATTATATTATTTCATACGCGATAGTAATTTTTGTTTTGTTTTGTTTTGTTTTTCTCTCTCTATTTTTTAAAGATTATAAAATTAATAGTTAATTAACAATTTTTACTTGTTTTTGCATAAGTTGAGTTTTAAGCAACACGAAACGTTTCTTTTTAACGAAGTATTGATTCTCAAGTTCGCGTGCTTGTTTCGCCATTGTAATTGCATTAGGTGGTTTTTTATTTATTATTTTCATAGTCGAACGACGAACTGAATTTGTTGTTGGAGTTTCCACAGATGAATCTTCTAAAACAGTTAACTGTTGTTGTTGTTGTTCTTGTTCTTTTTCTTTTTCTTGTTGTTCTGGCTCTTTTTCTTGTTGTTGCTCGTTGGATGAATTCTCCTGATAAAAACATATATAAAATCATGTATTATAAAATGATGAAAAAAAAAAAAAAAATAAATGTTAGAGGTACCTGATTAATCGTTAAAGTTTTATTTTTATTTTCTAAATTGGACGTTGAATTTTTCTCAACAATCGTTGCCATTATTATGCCTTTTTATTATTCCTTTAGTCAATGGTTCTCAGTTTATTTTCTTTTTCAGCACTTTCTATAACGATATTGAAATTCATTAATTATACCTTTAATTATTCATTTCTTCTCGAGTTGAATTTCAAGATGAAAACGTTGACAATGGAGAGAACAAAGAGATGCTATAATTTGACTATAGTTTTTTTTTTTTACTTTTAACAGCTAATTGCAATCTCATTTTTTTTTTCTTTGATAAAATATAATTATCGTTATAAATTCATTTCTTTTAAAATGTCTTATCAACACACACATACACATATACTCTATTATAATTATACTTAATACATTTATATATATCTATAATAGGTTTTAATAATACTTTTTAATAAATTACTATTAATTAATATATAATATATAATATAAGTTTTAATGAGAGAGAGAGAGAGATACTTATATATTATTATATACCTGATAAATCCACAAAGGGCTAATTTTTTGTTCTCTTTCACTTTTTGCATTACGTAGCATTACGTAATATTGTCACTGGCTTTATTACAAATTCAAGAAGTAGGAATTACATACAGAATTATTAATAATTAATCTGAAATATTTAATATCAATTTATTTATTCCAATTTTTAGTTAGTGTATGTAAAGTGTGTGCGTGTAAGTATGGTACTCATGCATACACATAATGATTTCACCATGATACAATTTTGTTGTATGAAAATGTTAATTGCATTATATTATCACATTGATGGCTAACCATATATTGTGTAATGGGAAAATGAGAATAAAAAGAAATAGAAAAAAAGAAAAAAAAAGAAACTTTTTTTTATTGTTAATAAAATTAATTAATAGAAAGAAAGAGAAATAAAATGTCATACCTTTTGCGATTGCACAAGTGTTGTTGTACTCCAACTAGACATACTCGAAGTAGTTTAGTTGTACACACTTTTATTAAATGTCCTATTACGATTTAGAAATTTAGTAATGACAATGTTACAATATCGCTAAGTGATTTAATTTGACACGTTGTAATACGTTGGGAAAAAAAAAGGAAAATTATTGAAAAGACAGACGTTGTTGCCATTGGCAACCGTGTTTTTATAGTTCTTCATAGAATATGATTGACGATCGAGTAGTTTTATTTTCAAAAGTTAATCCAAACACACACACGCACATACAATTAATATATGAATAAATAGTACGCGCATTCATACATTTTAATATGTTTTATAAGAATAAAATAGAAAAGAAATTACACAAAAGGTARTAAATAAATATCATTGACCAATATATAGATGATTTTCGCGTTATTTAACGAGTAAAAAGATGAGAAAATAAAAAGAAGAAAAGTATTCTTAGTTGATCTGTCAACAAACCCCCTCCCACTCTCTGCCACCTTCTCCACCCAAAGAAAATGATAACTCTCATGTCAGTGTAAAATTGGCAAACTACCAAAACCTATCATCGAAAAATAATATCTTTCGGTTTTAAAAATAAAAATGGTTCGATATCTTTTCGACAATATGGCAATTTAATATTATATACTTTTTACATAAGATAGCAATCCGCTATGCAATTTATAATACAATTTGTAACACAATAAACTCACAAACTCTATATATATATTAAGAATACATTTATAATATTTATTATTATAATTTTAATATATTAAATTCTAAAAATGATAAGACATTGTGTTGTAACATTGAACATATTGTAAAAAGATTAATTTTCTTCTTTTTGTTTAAATTTTAATACACTGTCGTCCTTCGATTAAATTGTCCGCATTTGGTTCACACATATCGTAGATATACGCGGTGTGAAGAGTGTGAAGGGGTTGAAAGGATGAGGGGTGGCGGGAGGGGGAATAGAAAATTCCCTTTGGGAAACGTAGTTTCGGCGTTGTGTCGAGTTTTATTCGCTGTCGTGTTTGCGCACGCGTCTCTGTTGGAATCTGCTGCTGTTAGAACGTTTCTGAACGTGGACGAGTGAGTAGTTTTAAGTCCCGTGTCAGATTTAGTGCACTCGGTCATAGTCTAAGAGATCGCGGTTAGTATATTTGTTTTATTTTTTTTCCCCATCTCGATGTTGTGTTTTTCATTTTATTATTTCATTGGTGATAAATATTATTAATGTTTGTTCTCGTCGTAATATTTCTTTCTTATCTCTCGCGATTATTAATTTATACGATAAAAAACAAAGTGTGAGAAAATAATATTGAATAAAAAACGCAGCAACAACAACAACAACAACAACAAAAACAACGACACGTGGGAGAACACTTTTTACATTTCAATTCTATTTTCTCATTCGTTGTGTTGTGTTATTGTCATTAATAATAAATTGCAAATAAATTGTTGTATTAATATAATTTAATATATAACGTGAGATTGGTATTTGAAATGTTTGGTGAATATATTGGTAGATTAAATTTGTTTGGTTTTGGTTTTGTTTTGAACGATTCAGTGATGTTTTGATGAAATCTTTGGTGTTGTTGTTGTTGTTGATATTTTTGCAGAACATTGGCTAAGTGAAAAAGGAATAAGAACAAAAAATACGATAAACTATTTGTTTTTTCTTTAAATCTTCTTTTCTAATCACGGTGAGCGCAACTTTTATGTATATTTGTTTCATTGCTTTTTTATTCATTTAAAGTACTCCTCCAAGTACATGTGTCTCTTTTTGGGTGATGGTTTTTTTTTCTTTTTCTTTTTTTTTTTTTTCTTATTCGTTAATACGATTCCGGTTATTATTAGGCAGGTATTCGAAGTGTGCAAGACGTTTCTAGCCCCCGGAAACGTTCTTCTTCTTCTTCGTTTTCTTCTTCGTTTTCTTCTTCTTCTTCTTCTTCTTTGTCTACTTTTACTTCTACTTCTACTAATTTAATCGTGTTAAAGAAAATTGTATGATTTTATAATGAAGAATTCATTCATTTATAAGTTATAATTTTAAATAAAACAAAAAAAAAACATATTTTTTATATAAAAGGTTCGATTCATTAATATATTTTAATGAATATCACACTTTTGTGTGTTTTGTTTATATAAATAATAAATATAAATATTATAATATAATAAATTATTAAATAATATACAAATAATATTTTTAATATTTTAATTATATATATTAAAATATTATATTATATTAATTATATAGTAAAGTAAATATATTATTTAATAATAAAGAGTACAAATATTTATATATATAATTATATTACCATTTGAATTAATTAATATCTTAATTAATAATAACAATATATATATATTTTAGTTATATACGCATGCATATGATCGAAGTCCTTAAACTTCATTATATTTCTCGTTTAATTCAAATAAGGTTTCGCTATCTAAGGTCATGATCATGACCGTCCGTCATCGGAAAAACATATTGGCAATGAACTTAAGAAACTAGTAGATACAAATAATCTATCTGAATTTTTATAAATATTTAATTTTTTCTTCCTTTTTTCCATGACATGATTATTAATCTAAGTTATGTTATGTATGGTCATGATCATGATTATCATAAAATATAAAGTGGCAAATTTAAAATGAAAATTTTCATTGAACGCACCATTCGAGCAAAATTTAAAAAATGTTTTATTGAAATAAAGACAAAAAATATAAAAAGAAAAACGACCTTGGCCTACTATATATATATATATATATCTATATGATTAAATTGTTATGAATTTTAGTCAAACGACGTTTGATGTAACCGAAGTACCATCAATCCATTCGTATTCTAAATGGATTTCCATGCGTCGGGTTTGGAAACCATAGAAAATAAATCGATTGCTTCAGAGTCACGTCTTTTAACTTACCTTGATATATATATATATATATATATATATATATTCGTAAAGTCGATGAACGAGCACGATCAACCCTCTGACATGTCGCATGCAGATTTATCTCTTTTACAAATTGCCCCTACTTCGAGGATTTATTTTCGTTGAGGGAAAAACGTTTATAAATGAACGACCCTATAGAAAACTTTTCATTATGTCTTGATGTTTTACATACATATATATATATATAAACGCGTATACATACTTTGATTTATGTGTATTATATTATATATATTATTTCATATTTTATGTTTATTTTTTATATATAGTGCTTTATATATCTTCTTAATAAATATAAATTACGTGTCACGTTGTTTGTCTGCAATGGACTCCGTAGTTTACTGAACCGATTTGAATCAAATTTTGCACAATGTGTGCAGTTTCATTCAACTTGAAATATAGGATAGTTTATATCTCAATTTATAATTGCAATTGACTTAAAGACGTGTGTAACGGACTGATTGTGAGCCACAGTAACGCGTGGCGGAGTACCCCTAGTATATTTATATATATATGTATTAAATCGAAGCTTTTTAACTAGGGAAAGATTTTGTAAAACGTTTTAAGAAAGTAATTTGAACTTTTTCAATCTTCACTTTATTTTAAAACGAAGAGTTAACTTTCAATGTCGATAGATCTTCTTCCTCGGTTGGTGAAGTTTGTCAGACAAACTTGGAACAGATCTAAAACAAGATCAGCACGTTTGCGGCTTCTACATGAACCGCGTTTATATCATTATTATAATAATAATATGTAAAAAAGAAAAAAAAAAAAAAGAAAACATAAACCATACACTCGGTTATATAATTTGAGACGATAAAAGAAAAAAAAAAGAAAAGAAACAAGCTACCATACTAGGATAATTATTAGAAAGATTTTTATCAAACCCTAAATCTGCATATCTATTGCGATCATCTTTAAATGAGTTTCTGTAAAGAGGTTATCGATTATTTTCCTAAGAAGTTACAAGAAACTAATAAGATATATTACTTTTGTAGAAAGAATATTCTCAATAAGTATAATATAATCTCAACACGTTTTATTAATATACTTTTTATATTAATAATATTTATATTCAATAATATAGAATAAGTATATAAAATATATCAAATAAAATATAGAATTTTAGGTAGTTACGTATTTTTATGCCACCGCAGAAAAATTTCGCTAATGCGCCAATCTACACCTTACTTAAATTGTTGCGACAAATCATAGAAATAAAAAAAACTTTATTTAAAATCAAAACACTTAACCTTGGGAATAAAGTAAAAGTGATTGATTGGTTAAAAAAAAAAAAAAAAATGAAGGAAAAAAAAAGCAAATAATTGGTTTGCATTGAAAAATTAAAATGTAATTTCATTTGACAAGTTCATCGGTTATTGCATTTGTACGAGAAAATAAGATTACTACGTAAAGTTAAAATGTATTAACGTCATATGATGTTTATTTTTTCCCCCCCTTTTATTATTTTGTTTGTTTCACTTTTATTTAAAAAAAAAAAAAAAAAAAAAAATTGAACTCGTACATTCGATGGATAAAATCACCATGTATAAAATCATAATAAAATGCACAATTAAAGTTTATTTCAATTTATAAAAATATTATTAATAGATTAATTTGTTGTATTCTTTTTACCTTTCATTAGTTTATTCATTTTTTCTTTTTACTTCTTCATTGTAGTGTCACCTTTTTTTTCTTCATTCAATATCCTTTTTTACCCTTTGAAAAAAATACGGTTTTCCTTTTTCGATAATCTATATCCCAGCAGAGATCGGTTATCACTTTATATCTTCTTTGTTTTTTTTCTTTTCCATTTTTTATTCATTTTTTTTTTTGTTTTATTGGAAATCCTTTCGTTTGGTTTTGTATCATTTTTGAAATCCTTTTACGAATGAAAAAATCGTTAGAAATGAATTTCAATGAAATTTTTCTTTTTCTTTTTTTTTTTCCCCCAATCAAACACCCTCTTTCTCTTTTCACTTTTTCCCGTTCATTTCAATTTTTAACGAATATATGTGAGTTATAAACTATCGTATCTTTCAAGTTGGATGAAACTGTACACAGTGTGCAAAATTTGATTAAAATCGGTTCAGTAATTTAGGAGTCCATTGCGGAAAAACAACATGACACCTAAATTATATATATTAAGATATTGTTCTTCTTATTTTGTATCTTTTTCTTATTTAAAAAATCATATTTTTCTATCATTTTACAGAAAATGTCGTTACTACTGGAACGAATTATTAGTAATATTATATTGCTATTAATTATAACAAATGGCAGTTATTCGACGAGATGTAACAGAATGATTGATGGTACAACAAGGCCACGTTCACCTGCCGAAGACAAATATTCTTTCTTCATGACGCTTTATAATAGAACGGACATTGTATACGCATACATGCCGAACACCAAATATACAGGTAAAATTAATTATTATTACCTATTATCGAAATACCCGTATAGATTTATTTTACCTCTCCTTTTTTTCTTTTTGTTTTTTTTTTTTTTAGCTCCTTCGGGATTATATTTTTGTTTCTTCTTTTTTTTTTCCTTTTTTCGTTTCCGATCGTTGTTCAAATATTTTTCGATGCGCGAAAAAGAAAAAAAGGAAATTAATATCGAATCAATTTTGTTTTACCAACGTACAAACCCCTGTTCTCCTATCTCTTCATACCTTCTTTCCCCATGCATCAACCCATCTCTCGTTTACCACTTGGTTTTTTTTTATTGGTAGACAAAAATAAATAAATCTTAAGTTACATTTTTGTTGTTGTTCATTTCTAATAAATAATCAATTATTCTTATAACATTGAACAATTTGATTGCATATCTACCAAAACCATTTACAACTTATGTTACAATTAGCGTGAATCATCAATATAAATACTTAATCATCAATAAAAGTTAATAACAAATAACTAAACAAATCCAAACAAAAATTACTAACAATAATAATAATAATAATAATAATAATAATAATAATAATAATAATAAATTCTTAAAGGGATGAATATTACACAAAATCATTATTCAAGTCTTTTGGAGTGCTTTCAAGTTGCAATAATGAAAGAGGGTGGAAAAGTGGTTTATATAGGCAACTGGCTTTTGGATCGTTTAAATCCCCAGCCCTTTACTTTCATCCTTCCCTTTTTGGGTATGCCAGGAAGACGGTATTCATTAAAATATCGCATGATCGATGAGAGAGATATCCACTACTATTACTAGCAACATGAAAATCCTTACTTCAATTTAAAACGGATGTGTCTAGACGGAAATGAAATTTCTCCTCTTCTTCCTCTTCTTCTTTTTTTCTTTTTTTTTTTTTTTTGTTTGCGTTTCCTCCTTTTAATCATTTCGAACGATTATAACGTTTAATTTAAACACTTTAAGGTTAATTTGCTGAGTTACAAAAAAAAAACTAAAAAAATGGACGATGCATTTTTACACGCAGGTAATGAAAATAAAACAAATACGCGTTAATTGAAATAAAATGAAATGGCTACGAGGAGGGGGTAGAAAAAAAAACCAAAAAGTAACAATAATAATAATAATAATAATAATAATAATAATAATAAAAATAGTAGCAGCATCGTAACGCGTGAGAAACTTGACACACTGACGAAGGTTTTCATTTAACTGCGTTTTTACGATTAATTCCTGTAATTCAAGGTTATGAGAATGATCGTGGAAAAAGAGGATTAGTTGGAGAAAGAGGGGAACGTGGTCAAGGGTCATGAGTCATCATAATCATCATAATCATCATCATCATCATCATTATCGTTACTTTCTTATGCAACGTGTTCATATTTTTAATTCGTTTTCGTTAATAAAAAATATGATTATATTATTATTAATTTAAGTGACAATAATGTCGGAGAGTCCAGGACCGGTACCAAGGAAATTCACAAGATTTTTAATATCATCTGAAACTGAGAACGAAAGTGAGGTTGTTGAAATCGGTACTTTCGATATTATTGACGATTCGATCAGTAAATATTCCGATAAATGTGCCAATGCAGTTGTCGAAGTGTCTAAAGTACCAAAAGAACGAGTTTCCGTTGCTTGGACAAGCCCTTCAGAAGGTAGCGGTTGTGCACTTATCAGGTAAAACAATATAATATTAATTATTATCTATGGTATAATGTGAATTATTTAAATATCAATTAATAAAATAAATAATTTTTTATTTTTTATAATATATTTATTTTATTTTTACTTCTTTTGTTACTTTTTTTTATTCGATTACAGAGCAACCATTTTGGAAACACCGGACACATGGTACATGGACGATTCGAATTTGGTTTTAAACATATGTCAAGATACGAAAGCTGAAACTGACGATCAGGGTCCGGTTCTTGAGAAATGTTGTGCTTGTGACGAGGCCAAGTACGAAGTTACTTTCGAAGGGCTCTGGTCTAGAAATACACATCCAAAGGCATGTGTTGATTCAACGTTAGAAAAAAAAAGAAACTTAATTTTTTTGTTTTACATATATATATATATATAGTCTAACAACGAGGGTGTGTGTGTGTTAATTAAATCAACAACTTCCTGTTTGCTGCTGCCTGCTTCTTCTTCTTCTTCTTCTTCTTCTTCTTCTCTTACATTAATTTCTTTTTTTTCGTTTTTTTTTTTTTTTGAATAACCATCTATAAAACTTCATCTTAACGTTTATTTCTAACTCTTACAAAATATGAGCCACCATTATCGTATTCTTTCGATCATATTATCGTAAAACATTTGAAAAGCATTGTTTCTCAAATTTGAACAACCATTGGCGAGGAGTGGGGGAAGCCGTCATTTTGTTTTCTTTGATATTTTGTCTACACAATTTGGGAAACATTGATTTTAAATAATCATCGTATACGAATAGATCGTAAGAAATATAATTAATTTGTTGTTCATTAAAATTTAATGAAAATGAAAGATAAATTCTAACTTAATTTCATTCAGGATTTTCCAAGCAAAGGTTGGTTAATTCGATTTTCCGACGTGATCGGTGCATCTCACACGGTCGATTATCGATTTTGGGAATACAACGGATACGCAAGTATAGGTTTAAAACAAGTTGCCGAGCTTGGATCTACGAGAAGATTGGAATCCGAATTAAAAAATCAAGTACGATTTTATTTCATTATCAATCGTTAATTTATATATTTTATTTCACCGGTTCCTTTTTTTGTTTTCTTCATTCTACTTTGAATACTTCTTTAATTGTTGTCTCTCTCTCTCTCTCTCTCTCTCTCTCTTTTATTATTATTATTTGGTTTTTTTTTTTTTTAGAGCGAACACATCAGAACAATAATAAAAGCACGAGGAATCAGTTATCCTAACGTAACCGGTAGAACATTTGCCGTATTTCGTGTAGATCGGAAACATCATTTGATGTCTTTGGTGTCGATGATCGGTACGATTAATTATATTTCAATAATAATTATCTTTATATTTGTACCAGTGACGGATCAAGTCAAGTCAAGTCAAACGGGAACCCCGAAATAATACTAATTTAATTGTATTTTAAATGTTCAACTTAATCCGCTTATCGCTTAATCCGCCACTGATGTGTTGATGTGCTTGTTAAATATTATTATAATCATTTTCTACAATTGTTTATGTTATAGATCCATCACCTGATTGGATAGTAGGTGTATCTGGATTGGAATTATGTAATTCAGATTGTACATGGATCGAACATAAAGAATTAAATTTGTATCCGTACGATGCAGGAACCGATGATGGGATAACATATTTGGTAAGAAATACAAACTTACAGATAGGGGGTAAGAAGGGAGGAAGAGAAACCAGTGGGGATAAACTATGTTGGAATTAATATATATATATATATAAAATCAGAGAGTATGTGTGTAAACATGAATTAATTACAATGATGGAATAATATTTTTAAACAGTCTCCAAATGAACCGACAGAACCACAGGAAGTTATTCGACGTATTACTTCGACTTACCCAAATGATTCGAGGTCACCGTTTTATGATCCATCTGGTTTGGATATGAAACCATTGGCAAAACTTTATTTGAATCGTCAAAGATTGTACGAGAAAACTTGCAATAAAACTACGACCGATTCTACAGAAGAAGGTACTACTAAAACAAATATTAATAACAAATACCTTTTATACTTTCCAATATTATATTTCATTTATTTTCTTTTTCTTTTTTTTTTCAAATTTGTAGAAGCATGCAGAGTAAGTTCTTGGAGTGGTTGGAGCGAATGTTCAGTAACATGTGGTAAAGGTAATAAACTGAGACAACGACAATATCACAACATTACTGCTGCTGTAATTAACAAATGTAACGTAGCGTTAACGAGTAGGATAAATTGTTATAAAGAAGAATGGTAAGGCAACTTTATATTTTATTATACATAGAAATATATAACAAAAAAGAAACTTAAATGGGATTGCATTTCAATCTTTTGTCAAAATCGGCACAAACTTTCAAGACAACCAAATATATATATATATATATAAATGATCTTATAATACATCTAAAAAAGATATTAATATAATAATTAATTAATAATATTATTCGTAGTGGAAATAATGATTACAATTCTGGTATACTGGGTAGTGAAAAGTGTCGTTTAACCGATTGGAGTGAATGGAGTTCATGTACAGCAACTTGTGGTCATGCAGTAAGATCACGTTCACGTAATTTCGTACACAAACAATATAGAAAGCAATGCAATTATGAAAAAAATGGTCCAGAACTTGAACAAAATATTGAATGTGATAACGAACCGTGTTCAGACGAAGATCAGGATGAGGTAAGGAATTTTGCAATGACAGAGGAAAACGACGTGGTCATGGTAGATACGGATGAAAACGATCACAATGTTTCTTACGAGGGTGACGAACCGGAAGTGGAGGTAAACGAGGAATGGTTGCAGGTACGAACATTGATTGAAAATTGAAAAGAAAATTTCAAATAAAGAATCATAGAAAATTATTCAAACATTAATCACGATGTTGCTAATAACATTATTATACTATTTAAGCATCCTTCTTTTATTTTTATTTTTTTTTTTTAAATACTAACAATTAAATATCATATCATTAATATAATAATTCTTTTTTCATTGATAATAATCACACGTTACGATGATACCTGCACCGTTTGTCGCAAATCCTTGCACTGAACATTTGTATATATATTATATATATATATATATATATATATATATATATATATATATATATATATATATACGTCTGTATGTATGTATACGTTTTAATTAATTATTACCGTATATTCATCATAATTATATTTCTACAAACATATAACACCGAACATGATAATACGATAAAGAAAATCTCTCATTGAATTATTAATCGAAAAATAAATTAATTTAAAATTATTTCTCTCATATGTTTATGAAAAAAAATATTGATTTGTTTAAACATTTAATTACTTATATTTCTTTTTGTAGAAGTGTCCACCCGAACATTATACGCAGTGGTCAGTGTGGACCCCATGTAGTTCTAGTTGTGGATTAGGTATGCAATTGAGAACGAGAAAATATAAAGAAAGTTATAATGGTATGGGTGAAGATAATCCGAACATAGAGGAATGTAAACAACAACAAGCAACCTGTATGGCCGATAGAAAATTTTGTGATTTTTCTCGAGAAGAAGCAGCAGGTAAATATATATATATATATTTATGACAATTATATGAAGGTTCTTAAAGAACAATAATAATCAAATTTGTTTCCCTGTAAATTAAAGGTTAGGTTTTTTTATTAACTATTTATAACCGTAATTTTTAATATATACAATTTACCTGTTAATAGAGAAACGACAATTAAAGAGGATTATCTGCTCTTCACTCTATTTACACTAGTCTAATTAATCTTACAAATTAATTATTTAACTTTTCTTATTATAGTATTACTTATCTCTGTATCTATCTATCACTCTAACTATCTATAACTGATTGATCGCAGATCGATCGATTAATTGATTTCTATCGATCTCTCTATTCGCGCGAATGCGCGCCAAATTCGAACGAAATATAAGCGTTAACTCATTAAAACGTTATATAAATATTAACTCAATTTTATGTTCTTTGTTTTTAGAATTATGCAGTGAACCAAAAATAGAAGGAAATTGTAGTGAACACATATTAAGAGTTTATTTCAACAAATACGACGGACAGTGTCATCATTTTAAATATACAGGATGCGGTGGAAATAGAAATAACTTTCCAACCAAGGAATATTGTTACACAGTTTGTGGAAATTATCAAAGTAAGTTGTGATAAGTAGTATATAAACAATTAAAAAAAAAAGAAATAATAAAAGTAAAAGTGATATAATATTCAATTCGTTAACGTTTAATTCTAAACGTGAGAAAAAAGAGAAAAAGAAAAAGAAAAAAAAATCATCTTTTCTTCTGTGCACGCTAATCAAAACAAAATAAGGAGAATTAAAAGCCAACTTGTCGGCTCTTATGAAAAATTTTAAGGTATCCCTCAGCAGTGTTCTCAGCTATCATATACCTATACAAGAACAACACAGGAGAAAGACTAAACGAGCACAATTTGATGAAACTTCGGGTATACTGTTTAACAATTATAATCCAATCACGTTTTGGAACATTTTGATTTTTTTTAAATACAAAAAAAAAAGTAACATTTTTTTTTACATTTGTTTAACACTAGATATACACCATTTTAATTAAAAATGTCTACTTCATGTAACATTTGATTTTCAATTTGATTTTAATTTAATATCAGTATATATATATAAATCAAAATTATATTATCAATTTTTTCTTATATTTTTTCTTCACAGAATCTTTATTAGAGTTCAAAGGTCTTCAATCTGGAAGTCAAGTGGTAGAATCGTCAGAAGAAAACAATCAGCGAATAAATTGCAAAGTAACAGAATGGAGCGAATGGTCACCTTGTAAGGGTTGTCGTGGTTTTACATCAAGCAAACGGAAAATTCTTGTATATATTTTTCTTCATTGTAAAATAATCTTAATTAAAAAAAAAAAAAATATGACGGTAAATAATAAAATTGATTGTATTATTTATTGTAAAACTTTTTTTGTTAATAGATACCGGCTAAAGGCAAGGGTAAACGTTGTCCCAAAAAATTACTCCGAAGAAGAAAATGTCGTAAAATACCACCGTGTTGTAAGTAAATGTTCGTTAAATGTTTCAACAAATAAAAAACATTTATGAACATTTTTGTGAGAATCTCTAACAAGTATTATTTTAAATATATATATATGGGACATTCCACGTCAAATTGACCACTTTTGACCCTGACTCCTTTCAATTTTGCTCAAACTTTTTTTTATCATTTTTAACTAAGTTTTTTTAATGAAATTAAAAATGATAAAAAAGTTTCAGTAAAATTGAAAGAGGTCGGGGTCAAAAGTGGTCAATTTGACGTGGAATGCCCCACATATATATATATATATGAATGAATAATTTTGAAATATTATTTCAATATTTACAGCAGAAAAGATTAATAGAGGAGTACAAGAAAGTAAGTACAATGTAAGTGTAAATTACATTCGTTGATATATCCCTAATACATTTCTGATAAATTTAACAATTTCTATTTTTTCTTTTTTAGTTTCAATAGATTGTAAAGTGCAAGATTGCTCATTAAAGAAAATACTCTGGTACTTGGGGAGTTACGCTGGAATATAGAATAAGAAGAAATGTCACAAAGTTCAACCTCGTGGTCCAAATGGTAGACTTTTGTTCTACAATTGTAGAATTTAGAAATTGTACGACGTTAGAATGTCCGTAATAAATCTTTTCACTCAGTTATATTATGGAATTGTCGACAAATTTGTTTTCTAGCTTGTATCTCTATTGTATATTCTTATTTAATTTAAATCGTATATTACATTGTTAAAGATAATTAAATTAACATATTTCTAAAAAGAAATATCTATAACAAATACATACCACATCATTAAAAGAGAAGTACTGAGGCACTGCATTTAAAATATGTCATACTATATATACATATGTTTTTTAATTTTGTCGCTTATTTATTTTTTCTTTTTCCATTTGTTTACTTTCATAATATCTATAGATAAATACTTGCACACCATTTTAATATTTACAATTCAAATAACAAAATAGTTTACTCGTTGTATACACGTTGGGAATTTATTAGTCATTTTTCCTCTGCATTAACATTTGTATTATTCGAATACTTATTCTCATTGTCACTTTCATTTAATATAGGAGTAACTATAAATACTGTACGCATTGCTTGTACAGATTTTTGTATCGTTCCATGTTGTTTTATAGCTGATTCAACGTATTTTACTATTTTATCCTATAAATGAAAATAAAATAAATCTTACATATATATATCTACAAACATATGTGTTTATAAATAAATATATATATATAAATAAGTTGTAAATTTACCGGTGCTTCAGTATCATTGTTAACGATTAATTTGACTTTATGTTTTTTTTGTAACAATTTCTTGACGTGTTTTACTTTGACATCGATGTCATACATGGATATTTTAGCAGATAGTTGTATTAGTTTTACTGATTTAAGTTCATTAGTTTTTTTATCACTTTTATCTTTAACTTTTGATTCTTTTAAATGTTCCGTTGGTTCTACAAGTTTGTAAGTATCTTTGGATGAACGCTTTTGTCCATCTTCCACTTTCATTAAAATTAAATTCCGACGTTTTGCAAGTTTTTGTGCTTCCTCCATAGTAATAACTGTCATAGAATCTTTTGGCAATAAAAGTGTTATTTTAGGTATTATCATTGTTTTAGGTTTTTTCTTTTTATCGAAATCATGTACATTTCCCTCGGTGTTTGGAACTTTCATACAATAATTTAAAATATTTTGATGTCCTCTTATTATTAGTTCTTTATAATTATTATTTAATAAACTTGACACATAACAATTCAGTCGTAACAAATGTTTTATTCTTACTACCATTGACAACGATGTCGTAGCCATTTAAATTTTTTATTTATTACTATTTGTTTATGTTATAACCTAAAATATTTAAAAAATGGAAATTCTATTGTACTCATTCACATTGTACTACACGTTGTTATCAAAGCATATCAAAATATTACCAGAATATTTGTATACAAAATCTTTGATTATTCCTTAAATCGGATTGGCTTGGGTTTGACCAATCATTTATTAGATATTACTAGGAACATTTTTAGTAAATGATACCATTCAGACAACTACTAATTTCTGCTTGTAATCTATTGGAGTCATAACCTAAAACTTGTCCAACGTCAAGTTATTAACGTTATATTATTATTTTATGTCAAAGAAGTTATTTAACATAATATATTAAAAATGCCGGACCATTTAGGAGAGGATATGCGTAAAGTAAAATCGGAGGATGAAAAGGAAGAGAAAGAAATTAAATGTAAGTTTAAGTGAGATTGTATATTTTATTTTACTTCATTTTTTAATGTTAATTAATTTTCTTCTGTATTTTTTAATTATTGTATTATTTTATTTCAGCTCTTGATGAGGCGGACATTGCTTTGTTGAAAACATACGTGAGTTATAATTTATTACAAAAATAATCAATCTTTTATTCTTTGTCTTTATTTTAGATCAATGCAATTGTCAGTACTTTTTATTTCTTTAACTTTTCATTATTTCATTTGTTATATGCAACATGTAATTAAATTATATATTTTATATAGGGTCAAGGTCAATATACGAAGACTATAAAAGTGGTTGAAGAAGATATACAAACAATAATCAAGCGCGTAAATGAACTGACAGGAATTAAAGAATCAGACACTGGTTTGGCACCTCCAGCTTTATGGGATTTAGCAGCTGACAAACAAACTCTACAAAATGAACAACCGTTACAAGTTGCTCGTTGTACAAAAATTATTAACGCTGACTCCGATGATCCAAAATATATCATTAATGTGAAACAATTTGCTAAGTTTGTTGTTGACTTGGCTGATACGGTAGCACCAACGGATATTGAAGAAGGCATGAGAGTTGGTGTAGATCGTAATAAGTATCAAATACATATTCCATTACCACCCAAAATAGATCCAACTGTTACTATGATGCAAGTAGAAGAAAAACCAGATGTAACGTATAGCGATGTAGGTGGTTGTAAAGAACAAATAGAAAAGTTGAGAGAAGTTGTAGAAACTCCATTACTACATGTTAGTATTTATTAATTAAATTAATAGTAAATATAGTTTACTGAAACTAATTTTATTATATTTATATAAAACTCTCATGTTCATTTATTTACAGCCAGAGAAATTTGTCAATTTAGGTATAGAACCTCCTAAAGGTGTATTACTTTTTGGACCACCTGGAACAGGTAAAACATTATGCGCAAGAGCAGTTGCCAATAGAACAGATGCTTGTTTCATACGTGTTATCGGATCGGAATTAGTTCAAAAATATGTTGGAGAGGTATGTAATTATTTAGAAAGTTGTTTACAATAAACTGTAATTATAGTTATATATATATATACATATGTAATATTATTATTTATGGATGTTTTTTTAGGGTGCAAGAATGGTGAGAGAATTATTTGAAATGGCACGTAGTAAAAAAGCTTGCCTAATATTTTTCGATGAAATAGATGCTATAGGTGGTGCACGATTCGATGATGGTGCTGGTGGTGACAACGAAGTGCAAAGAACTATGTTGGAATTGATCAATCAATTGGATGGGTAAAATTTTGTTTTCTTTCTATTCAATTTTATTTTTATTATATATATATATATATTATATTTATATTTTATGTTTAGATTTGATCCTCGTGGTAATATCAAAGTCTTAATGGCAACTAATCGACCAGATACATTGGATCCTGCATTGATGCGACCAGGACGTTTGGATAGGAAAGTTGAGTTCGGTTTACCAGATCTTGAGGGTCGAACTCATATCTTTAAAATTCATGCACGTTCAATGAGCGTTGAAAGGGATATTAGATTTGAATTACTCGCACGTTTATGTCCTAATAGCACGGGAGCTGAAATACGTTCAGTTTGTACCGAAGCTGGAATGTTTGCAATTCGTGCACGTCGTAAAGTAGCCACGGAAAAAGATTTTCTTGAAGCCGTCAACAAAGTAATCAAATCTTACGCTAAATTCTCTGCTACTCCTAAATATATGACTTATAATTAAATTCATTTATTAAAATACAGTACATATAACAGGTGATTTTTTTTCTTTTATATATATAACAGTACTGGATAATAAAATAATTATAATATTAGAGAATTTTGATCCTCTACAGAATTGATTTCAATCATGTAATTATTACTTCCAAAGTTTAGAGTAGAGCCTTTTTTATTTCTATTAGCAAATTTGTTATTGATATTGTTTGAACGAAATGTTTAATCGGATTTTCTTTATAATAACTTCAAATATAATGAGGATTATTACAATATGAATAAATAATAATACAATTTAATAAATTTAACTCAAATTCATTTGTGATTGAATATGAGAAAATTATATATAAACGTTACTACAAATTTATTTATTTATTTAGATAACAGTATTTTCAGATATTAGGTCATTCGGGTAATGAAAGTTCGAATATAAAAGGCTCCACACATTCTGTTAATATAATTTATTAATGTTTATATTTTGTAAAATTGAGCTTGATTGGGCCATCCGGTTTATTAATTAACAAGGATTTACAACCAAGATTATCACCACTCCAAGTAAATTCTAATTCTCGACACATCTACATAAAAAGAACAAGAAAAAATATATATATATATAAAATATTAAATAACAATTTTCAATTTGAATTGAATAAATGATTAATAAACGTACCCGTATTAATAAAGTTCGCATGCTTTGTTCGGCAAAACGTCTAGCAATGCAGGATCGTGGTCCATGACCAAAAGGTAATACTAAATATGGATTAATAGATCTTGAAGAATTAGTATGTCTATCATTAACATCTACAGTTGTTTGTAACCATCTTTCCGGTATGAATGAATGCGGATCATTGAAATATTCAGGACATTGGCAGGTAACTTGATTCTGCGTTACAACTATAGTCTATAAAAATAAACAATTATAAATATAATTAGAAGATACAAGATCAAAATATACGATATAATTAAATACTTACACCTTTAGGAACACAATAACCATTAAGAACAATATCGGTCTGTAAAACACGTCCTATTCCAACAGATACCGGATTCAATCTAAATGTTTCTTTTATTACAGCCTTTGCATATTCAGCATTGCGTAAAACATTAACAGTTATGTCTTGATTACTATCCGGTAATAACTTTAAACATTCTGATCTTAATTTTTCTTGGCATTCAGGATTTTTTCCAAGATGATACAAAACAAAAGACATAGTATAACTTGTCTATATAAATGATCAAAATGTTTATGTAATTAAAAAGTTATTATTTTATGATATATTTTGGAATATTTATATTTACGTACAGTATCGATACCAGCTAACAACATATCACAAGCCATACCAACTATATCTTTTTTATCCAAAGCAGGATTCTTCAAATATGCATCAAGAAGAGAATTTGTAGATAAATCTGTACCTTTTTCTATTTTCTTATTTACCATTTCTATTGCAATTCTATAATAAAATACAAATAAAATAGAGTATATTTAGATAAACGTTTTAATATTACATGTATATATACATATATATTTAAAACATACTCTTCCATATAGTTTTGCGCTTTGCACAATTTTTTATAAAGAAATGTATCAAAATAACGCCACAATGCAGGTCCATTGTCTAATTTTAAAATAGCACTATTAGTTGTAAATGCTGCATCAATGAGTTTGGAAGTTCTAGAATCTTGTTGTCTTTCTTCCTTTGAAAAACTATTCATTCTTACATCGAAAGCTGTCAGACAAGTTACTGTGGAATTGTTTTTTTTTTTTTTTACATTTATACAAAATAAGAAAAATATTGAAAAAATATGAATATTATATAAGAAAAATAAATCTCTATCTATATATAAAATAAAATAATTACATTCAAGAAAGAGACGTGAAAGCAATGGTAAGAAATCATCATATCTTTCTTCGGTACAAAGTGGAATAAATTCTTTAATAACACGATCTGTATCTTCAAGATAATTAATAATATAATTTATTTTGTTAAGAACCTTTTGAAATTCTTTACGTAATCTCCACCATTCTTGTCCATTTCTAAAATATATAATACATTTTTGTTTTTCATAGATATTAAGATAATTGATTATTATAAGAAAAATGTCATTTATTACGTTGGTAAAAGACCTCCAGTATTATATATATCACTTCTATCTTTTCTATATTTGAGAAGAGCCAAATGACTTCTACGTTCAGGATGTAAAGAGGTTTCAGCTTTAAAAATTTCAGCTATATCTTCTGGACGATAAACATATACAATTTGTACACCCGGTACTATTTCTTCTCTTACCAATGATCCATATTGTTTCTTTTTTTTAACTCCACTATCATAAAGTCTTGTAAATGAATATTCACCTATCAAATACATATACACATGTTTATGTCATGGTATTCATATTAGTATAATATAATATATATTTTTTGTTATACTTACCGATCAAAGGAATATATTTATACAATGTTCCAATTAAAGGTAAAGATATTGGTCCTGGAATATCTTGAAAAGAATGTAACGTGGTTTCACCACTTATCTCAGAACACTTAATTGAATAATTATTAACAAATGAATTTAGACATGATTTTTCAGTCAGTGATAAAATAGATTGAAACTTGTTCATTTGTCGAAACATATTTGCACACATTTTTCATTCAAATAAATGAATTTAAGGTTATATTATTACTTAATATATTGACACAAAATATTATTATTCCATAGAATTAAAATATAATCAATTTTTGGTTAATATCAACTGTATAGTATAAAATGTAAATGAATTCATTCTTAATAATAGTTGTTATCTATATAAAGGAAAATATAATATTCAGTTATTATGATATATTATATCATATTATTATATTACTTGCAAACGATGCACTTTACTTATACTAAAATAAAACATTTTTTTTTTTTTGACGTTAACTGCAAGTTTTGAGGTTTATAAAATGCGCGTAGGTTAACCGGCATGCACGTGACATTAGAAATATCTCAACTGTTTTTGAAAACACTGTTGCTTGACCAGTGTTTCTCATCAATGGTGATTTATTCTCAACCTCGTAAATTTTAATGTGTTCTTTTTCTTTTTTTTTCTTTTTTTTCTTTTTTTTCTTTTTTATTTCAGTCCATTGTCGTATAAATACTTGATGTCAAAGAACGATAAGGTTATTTTTTCCTTTATCTGTGAAATGATTATATTTAAATATAGTAAGGTTAAAAGACACACACGTGTTTTATAAACATCATACATAATTCATTTCCATGATGTTTTATTTGAAATACAAAAGAATTGTATAATATAATATAATATAATTGTGTACAATATAATACATAATTATATTATTATAAACATAAACGTGTTATAACAAATTACATATATCCAAGAATAAATAAAAATAAAACTGAAATAAAGAAACTTAATTTAATTGTTAGTAACTACGTGCGTTAAAATAAACATTAATTTATTATTGTTATTATTTCTTTTTTTTAATAAGGTTATATTGTACAATTAAATATTGTTTCATTAATTTGACAAGACAGCATATACCAAATTATAAAATAAAATAAAAATGAGATAAAAAAAAAGAAAATTCGAAAGTAAATTGAATAAATTAATTCGATATATCGTAAAGAACGATATATATGTAAATATCGATATATGGAGGTATATATATATATATTATATATATGTATATCATTTGAAATTGGTGGTGTACCTTCGCGCGTGAAAGGTAAAATGGGAAGAAAGTCAAAGGAAATAAACTACTTGGCTTGTGAATGTTATAATCGCCTTTTTCTCTTTCGCCATGGTAAAGTGAGCATAACACTCGGAGAAAACAAACGTATCGATAATATCGATACGATATACATTCGTGAATAAATGTAAATTTGATCAATATAATTAACATTTGATTGATTTAACAAAATTTCATTTGATTAACGTAGTAATTGACGGTTATATTTCAAATTTGTACGTCGTTGTCGTCGTTGTAGTTGTCACAGTCGTTTGTCATCCGACAATTTTAACAAAAGAAAAATATATCCGAAGGTGTAAGTACGCCTATTTTATCGTATTATTAAACGAAAGAAAGTTGTCATTCGTCATCGTAGGCTGTAAATGTGTGTTTTGTGTTTTTTTATTATCGATGTTTCATCAGATGCTAAACTGTTGTGTGCGTGTGTGTGTTATTTTTTGTATCTTGTACATAAAGTTAATTATTATTTATTAATATTATTATCGTTATCGCAAACGATTGGTTTTCTTAGTTTTTGTCTATTTTTTGTTCTTTCTTCGATAAGTTTTTGGCGCGAAAATTGAAAACATCGATCATCCAATCGGTATGCGGAAGAAAACGAAGAAATCGCTGACGTTATTCCTGGTAAGTTTAATGATTATCGCTAACTAAAGTCTATTGAAAGTTTTATGAAAAGAAATGAAGATGGAAATAAAAAAAAAAGAAAAAGAAGGAAAATTAATTGAAAAGAAAAATAATTTGCGAGAATGAATGATAGATGTGTTAATAATTGAACGATGATAATAATGAGAGGACGTGTGCGAATGTGCACGTAAATACAATGCCTTTTAAAAATGTGATCACGTGATCAACGGTTTATCTTGAGATGATTCTTAGGATAAAGATGTATGATCGGATATGATCATCTGTTATGATCAATGAATTAGTAAATTGAATCAAATTCAAGATGGAAGCTATAAAAACTTATCGTTTTTGAATAAAACAATCAAATTTCTCTCTCATAGTTGTTAGTTTGTAAAAGTGAAAGCGTTCCGTTGTGAACGTTCCTAACGAAAGAGAAAATACACGTAGTTATTGTTATATTGTATTTGTATGTATATGTGTGTCCTTATACACATACATACATAAATATATATATATGTATATACATTAGATATGTTTAACGAGTCGAAAGGAGCCGCCTTGCGCTACTTTATCTCTTTTGTCCTGTGGCTGATCTAAGAACCATCATCTCAGTTACTTCCGGTGACACAGCTAGTACGACCTTTCCTTCGAAGAGTTTAGAGATCGGACGTTCTTTAAGAATCGAGCACACTCCCACGCACCTCACGTTCCTATCTCTCTTTTTCTTCTCATATATTACAGATATTACAGTCACGTTCACACCGAATTATACTAATGAAAAGTCCGCCATATTGGACAAATCCGCCATAGTGGACAAAATCTGCCATATTGGAAAAGTTCTCCAATTTTTCTTTTCCTATCAAATCAAAACATATATGTATATATACAGGGTGTCCAAAAAATTACTTATAGAATATTTATTTATAGAAAAAGAAAAAGAAACACTTTTTGGGATATTCTGTATAATAATATATTATATAATATTATATATTTTAATTTATATAATTATATCGTATAATTAATATTTGATTTATTCGAGAAATAGCAATCGATATAAACGTAATCGTTATGAATGGATCCTTAGATTGTATTCATAATGCGAGAGTAATATGTGTGTACTTTGTTACAATATATACATATATGTACATATATGTAAGTACGATGTTCCGTAAATTACACGAATCAACAATACAACGTAACGCCATCCACACTTATTTTCTTTTGCAATGATCCAAGAACGAGGCGAAGAACTAGAATCTCGTTAATACGAAGGATCTTTACATTTGAAATATAATGAAAAAAAAAAAAAGAGAAAAAAAAAGAAGGATCTTATATAAAAAAAATATTATTATAATATATGTGAGAGATAAAATATGATATAAGTATGATTCTAAATCACAATGTCTTACATACTTTTCAAACGATTTTAAATCGCGCCTACGTGCGATTTCCTTATTTCAATGTAAATTAGTGAATGGGGGAAAAATCTTTTTCAAATCTTTTTATCTAGAGCGAACACTCTCTTATATAGTACGTAACGGTAAATAAACATAATTTATTTACATAAAAAGAATTAAAAAACAAAAAAATAGAAAAGTAATACTAACAAAAATTATAATAAGAATAATAATAAAAATAAAAGTATAAAATATAAAAATAATAATAATATAATACCATTTTTAGCAAGCAACGCAAAGTGAAATTTTGTGAAATTTCGACAGTTGGCAAAATTTATTATAATGCGTAGGTTTTAGTAAAATATATTTTATGGGATATAATAAATGCTTTTATAGAAAACGAAAAAAAAAAAAGACAAAAAGAAAAGAAGAAGAATCAAAAAACTAGAAAAATTTGATAGTTTTACGATAGGATTAACACTAGATATATCACCATTTTCAGTACACCTATTCCTACTACACTAGTCAAAATGACTTGTGTTAAAAATCTAACAACGTATAATTATTTTTTCACTATATAGATAAATAGATAATAGATTAAGTTGTTATATAGACATTGAGAGATGAAATCGCTATAATTATGCGAGTTTCGAGGCTGCGATCGGTGCACGGTCACGATCAGCGATCACGTATACCATGATCGAGAATTATGCGTAAAGAGGTGATCTCCTTGTTAAAACACGTGGGTAGAAATCTAACGTATTATATAGTTACTTACTCATGTATGTCATCTATGTACATATATATATAACCATGACGTGTAATCATTTTTCCTGTATTGAACAAAACAAGAACAAGAACGAGAACAGGGAATGTGTATCCCTGTAATTTTCAAATAAAGCGCTTCGTAAATTCGATTCCTAATTGGTGGACAATTTTTAGTGGGAAATTTAAATTACAATATTATTAAAATTAATATTATTAATATTTAATGTTATAAAAATATTAAATAAACAATATAAAATTATTACATTTCGAACAAATCGATGTAACAATAAAGAAACACTCCAATAAATGAATGTTACGGACAGTTGAGAGGGGGTGGGTGTGCGGGGGTGGGTAGAACAAGACAGTTGAGATCTTGAACATGGTAAGAAAAATGATCTCGACTTTACTTATACTCATGGCGTGGGGGTGTGATCTCAAAGGAAGGGACGATGAAACAACAACTGGTGTTGGGAGGAGGAGGAGGAGGAGGAGGAGGTCCTCGGAACTTGCCGATAGCTCTGAAAATCTGAAAGCCTTCGGTGAGTTTCTCAGTCACCGTATCGCGTCTTAACAGCAAACAACACGCTTCAACGACGATACACATTACTTTGTTTTGTTTATTTTTTTCTTAATATTCCATTTTTAAATCTCTATTTGTTACATTCATTTTTCTCCCTCCTCTCTCTCTCTTGGTCTTTTTATTTATTTATTTAATTATTTATTTATTATTTCAAACCTCTTTTCTTCAAGCATCGTTCTTCGAATTTTTGGAAATTAATTCAATTCAAATCAAACGGACGTATTTAATATTCCTAATAGAAAATAAATTATTTGCAACATTTGTTTGTAATTTATCGTAATATTTAAACTAATATATTATTATTCAATGTTATTATTCATAGAATTGCAATTATTTAAATTATTATCTTATATAGAATAAAAAACAATGGGATAGAACAAATGATAAATTGATTGTTGATTACAGTTTTATTTCAATATTTATATATATAAAAATTTACTCAAATAAACAAAATTATTATTCATATCAAAAGGATTTTAAGGGTGGAATAAAAAGAATATACGTTTTTTATTGTTCTTTTTTTTTTTTTTTTTTAATTTAACAAATGTGGTGACCAAAGGACGAAGAAGACGAACGAGGAAGAACAAAAAAAAGGGAAGTGGTGACGAACGAAACTACAACGAAACGCGAAACGAAAAATTGTTCAACAAAATCTACGAGATTTTAATAAATCAATAATTAAATAAGTAACGAAACATTTAAAAAAAAAAAAATAAACAAAAGAAAAATTCTATCATGCGTGTTCGTGTGTTGATCGTATCGATTGTTTTAACGGTAGGTCGAAATAATATATATATATATATATGTTTATTTTATTTATTTAATATCATATTGTATTATATTTTTTATTTTAAATATAATCAAATATTATATTCGATTATCTTTTATTATCTATATTATTATATATTATATTGTATTATATTTTATTATCTATAATAATTCATCTTATTATTCTTCGATTGGTTAAAAAATATCATATTTCATTTATAGCTTATTTTTTTCTTTTTTTAATAATAATCATTAGGAATCATATGACAGATTCTTCCGATTACTAATCTCGATATGAATCATCTTTTTTTTATTTTTTTTCTTCTTCTTCTTCTTTTTTTTCTATGCTTCTATGCATTAGTGAACAAATATCTAACATCATCTAAAAATACACACTCTTATATATACATAGATATAAAATAAGATATATATTCATACATAATATGTGTGACACGTGTGTTGAAAATGAAGCATGACTAATATAACACTCATACATTGATAATAAAATTACAATATCACGGTACGTGAGAGAGAGAGAGAGAGAGAGAGAGGGAGACTACGTTCGATAAATGATGTAAAAAAAAAAAAAAATTAACAAATTAGAGTCCTCGGAATTGTTGTTGTAACAATTACGTTGATTGAATAGCTTACAGAAGAATAATAGTTTAGAAATGACAAAGTCTTCTTCCCTTCCCACTTCCCCCTTTACCCTAACTTAAAATGACGTTTGAATATAAAAGGCGCGAGAATAATTAACCCTACGTACGGGGAATAACAATTGAGTTATGTGCGTGTGTTTTGTTTATGGGGAAGGTCGCTTTTCTTTTTTTTTTATCATAACCATTATACGTGATGATCATCTTCTACTCTTTATTTTTTTTTTTTTCTTAAATAGAATTGTTTAATGCTATTATGTATACTACGTTATACATAGATACATGCAACGTACTATTCATACGTAAATATGCATACATTTTATACGAATGTATAATAAAATCACGTATAGGTATACATGGTGTCCCTCACTTCCCCATAAATCATTTTTATCAAGAAATATAATGGATAAGATATATATATATATATGTGATATTATATTTAAAGATATTAATATTAGATTTATTTCAATAGAATTATCATATTATTTTTGAGTACATTTTGTTAAAATGTGATTAATAAACAAACAATTAAAAATATTTATTTAATTTATATTTAACTTTTTCATTTGACATAAACGATTCTTCACGAGGGAGGGTGGGGGTGGTGATAAGTCACATTAGTCGTTTCTAAGAAACTTACGTGCGTATTACTTATATGAAAACTGTCATCATAAATCATATGACAATGTTTCTTTTTTTTCTGTTGTCTCGCATAGTTGTTAAGAATTAATCATCTAGTTGATTGATGTATTTCATTACACGTACAGAAATTATTAAAACATTAGATGTTAACAATGGACATTGAGTATTAACCCTTTTTTCAATTGATTTTTCCGCATATTTGGAAATGCTTTAATTATAAATTAATTAATATTATATTAATATTAAATTATATAATATTATTAATAAAATATTATATATTTACATATGAAATTCTTTTGAAACATTTGTTAACATAATTCATTTCATTTTTAATTCAAGCAAATTTCAATCAATTAAAATAAAATCATTGAAATAGTTATACACACGAATTGTATAATTGGGTTTAGTTTTAGGATAAAATTCTTAAGATGAAATCCTTGTTGATACGTCTGCCCTTAAGTTGGTAACTTGTTAGGTCCGGTATCTCTTAATATGGAAAGCATGAGTGAAACACAACGGTCTTGGTCAAACCCACGCGTTATCCTAAATAGAAGGGTGATTACGTATACATATATATATATATATATACATATATGTATCATATATGGGAATCTAACTCGTATTCGTTGTATCTTAAATAGTTGGCAAAAAAGTAACAGAAATAGAAGAAGAAGAAGAAGAAATCAGAAGATGATTATAAGATGATACATTTTAAGAGTAGTATACTTGAGAATGCAAGATGCAATAAAACAAAAAGAAAAAGAACACTAGGAAGAATCATAAAAATAAAAGTATAATAATGTAGGATGTATGATTATATATATATCTATCAGTCTGTTTTGTTTTTTTTATACTTTAATCGTTGCTATCACGTCCTTGTCACGCCTATTGCTTTGCCTGTTGATTTCTGTTCACGGTCGTAGGACCTTAAATGGATTGCTGCTTGGTGAATCTCATATTGCGTCCTAGTTGCATGCTCTGTTTTATGCCGATTATAAGTATTATGTAGCTACCTAACATTGTATATATGTATACATGTGTATAGATATAGATAGATGTATATATAGTGTATGTACAGTGACGGATTAAGTGGTAAACGGAACAAGGTAAACTGCATATGACCCCCCCCCCCAGGAATTAAAATTTCTTTTTATTAGGGTTCCATGAAAATTACCGTTTTTTTTTTATTAATAATTTAAAAGGGTTACATATATGTGTGTTTATACATTATTATATATATCCACATAATATCATATATATTTTAATATAGAATGAGATATTAGCCAATCGGATAAAGAATAATTTGTAAATAATAAATTTTAATTTACTTAAAAATAAATAATGTACATTTTTACAAATTACAAGATTATTTGATCTCACGTGATTACTGTTAATAATTTAATAGAAATGTGAGAGATTGAAAACACTTTCATATTTATTTTCTAATATGAGTTACATGAGTTTAAGGGACACAAAATTTGAATTGTTTGATACCTCTCATTTAATTTAATCCGTCACTGACGAGTATATATATATAATAAATATACAGTATCGTAGCCATATAAAATGGATTATTTCGTTGTTCCCGATCATCCTTGTTCGTCGTTCGATCACTTTCTCTTTCTTTTTTCTTTTTTCTTTTTTCTTTTTTATTTCAACGTGTCGCAAACTTTACAGTAAGGGGTATGGTAGGGGGTTTCTTTCCTTTTCACCAGTTTTTATACGAAAACGGGTATTGAGATAAAAAAAAAAAAAAAAAGAAGAAAGAGAATACGTTATATTATCTGTGTTTTTCATGATACCGTTAGAAAGATAATCGTCGAAAGAATAAACGTATAACGTAAAATTGCTTAGGCAAGTTGTTTGAACTGTAAAACCGTGGGAGGATAGATGATATGTCAATGAACTCGTTAAATAACCGTTGTTTGATCAAGATGAATCATTTTTTGTATATTCCACATATTACGATAATTGATTGTCTATGATAAGATATAACAATACTTTGTTATTGGTTTTTTTTTGTTTTTTTATTGTTTTAAAACATATTTCAAACCGATAACGTAATCTTAGGTCATTTCAGATTCTTTGCGATGTATTTTGATGACGTGATCATTAAATTTATTTCAATATAAATAAATAAATAAATAAATAAATAAAAATAATAATTGATTGATTTCAGCTTTCGATTTTGTATTCAACATCAAACGCATACGAAGCCGAAGGAAGAAATTGGAATTATGTCCCAAATACTCAATACCATATACAGACTGATGAAGGTCCGGAAAGATACTTTCGCTTTCAAACGTTGAACGGTCAATTTCGTAAAGAAAAAAGATTAGCCGATGGTACGGTCATTGGTACAGAAGCCTGGCTCGATCCTCTTGGTTATTTGCGTTACAAAGATTACATTGCTGATCATCAAGGCTTTCGTATTTTAAAGTAAACAAAACAAAAATTCCAACATAAATCAATTATTATATTTAATTATATTATTAAAATCATAATAAGAATACAATTTTTAGATCAAAAATGACTTACGTTGGTAAGGATACACCTATTCAAGAAGCTTTGATAATAAGCAAAAATGCGCCAGCTCAAAGTGGAATATTAGTTAAACCCAAAAAACCACCAAATCCATTTAGGTTAGTACAAATGTTATAATAATAATCATCATTAACATATATATATAATATGTAATATATATTAATATTTATTGAAATTGTAGGAAACCAAACAGGAATATAAACGTAAGCCCATTGTCAAGGAACGATATTAATAATGGTTATTATACACCAACAACTATCAGGCCGATCACTATATCACCGTATTTTTCTCCATCAAATAATAACGATTATTATAATAGAGAAAATTCGGATAATTCAAATAATAATAATAATCCGTATTATAGAAGTAATACGATTGTTCAACCCATCGATGTACTAAGATCACCACCAGTTTCGAATAATAACGTTGATTATGGTATTAGAAATTCGCATGATCAACTCGCCGGTGATATTTTACCACCTAACGAAGTATATAATACTAATAATGGTTTTGAATATTATCTTAAACGTCAGTATCACGAAGAGGAACGTGAACCTAACGGTGATAGTGTTGGTTCGTTCGGTTATATTGATCCCTTTGGAATAAGAAGGGTCATTTATTATAAAACCGATTCGCAAAATGGTGGATTTGTTCATAAAAAAAATAACAGATATGTTGGTTTTAATGCTAAACCATACGACACGTCACCAATTGATGATTTGTCACGAACTAGTAGAAGAATATCTTCTTAAATTGTTATTTATTGTTTTGTTTTGTTTTGTATTTTTTTTTCTTCATTAATGTCTCAAAACATGTTTTCAAAAATAAGAAGATATAATCTTCTTCATAACTTCTTCACACCCTTGACCACATATGTGGACGTTTAGTTTTTAAACATTTTTTCATTTGATTGCACTAGTAATGGTTATTTGTGATGTACAGTTAGAGAACAAGTAAAAAAAAACATTTTTTCCCGCCATAAAAATATCGATCCTTCTGAAGAGATTAATTTTAATTCGAATATTGTGTTTCCAATTTATAATATAATTATAAATACGCGCGTTGCATCGATTAATTGCAACTTATTAAAAATACGACGAGAATGTATTTGGAATTAGATTATTTCAAATTTGTTATTTTGTATATCGTTTATGCTAGTCTCTAGATAACCTAATTTACGATAATATGATTTCTAATTTTTTTTCTTTTAAAATTAGATATCATATTTAATATCATATTTAACTCGGTATTTAAATAACACTAAATTAATGACAATTTTGTTAATTTTTTTTTTTTTTAAGAAATTAATTTACTTAACTTATGTCAACAGCTTGGATTAACGTTAACGCACTACCTCGTAAAAATATCGATCGATAAAATGTTCTTTTTTTGTTCTTTCTTTTTTTTTTATTTATTTATTTATTTCATTTCATTTTTTTTTCTTTTTAAATTATTATTCAAGAAAGAAAAAAAGAACACCGTATAATTTACAACTAATAATAAAGATGCTTTATTTCCGTATAACGAATTACTTTTATAATTCATAGTCATTCCAAATAGAATAAATAATTGTTCTATCGTTTCACGTTCAACGTTCATTTGACCTTAACATTACTTACCTTTACTTTCATTGAACGTAATGATGTAATCGCTTTTAAATAATTTCTATTCGTTAATAGAAATCATTTAAAGAGATCGTTATGTATTTTATGTAAAATAATAAATTCAAATATTAAATGTAAGAAGATTGAATTTTAGAAATTCTTCTTAAATTTGTTTTCACATTTTTTTGAAATACTAAGCCTATCAGTTTGTTTCCTATAATTTATATATATAAAAAAAAAAAGGCGTAATATATATGTATCTATATTTTTGTTAAAGATAATAAGGAATAAGTATAGATGAAGAAATAGGTTTTAGTGTTAAAAATAAATGTGCAAGGATAATAACAGGAAATATAATTGAAGGAACAATAATTCTTGGCATTTGATTACAAATGTACGTAATCATCGAATGTATTATCGATTATTATTGATGAAACAGGGACATAAGTATTTTAATATGTGATCTACGAACTTAATTGCTACTTCTTAGAAAATACGCCATAGTATTCATACATATATAGTATAATACGCTAGAAACTAAACAAAAGTGTTGATGTCTCTATTGGTGATTACGAATGAAAAATTGATTATTGTGTACGTGTTAAAAGAAAATCTTTTTCATATTAATCCTCATTGTCGGAATTTTTTATCGTAATCGTCCCTCCTATCAATTTGTTGACTCTGTGGTTGTGGTTGATTTTTCGATGCAGCTTCTCTTGCGTCTGCTTCCTAAAAAGAACCAACACAAAAAACAATGAAAAGTAGAAAGTTTGCAGTATTGTTTCTAAAAAAAGAAATTGTGGCCACCAATTTACCGGTCAATCTAGTATTTTAAAAATGTTGCATTAGACTGTTATCTGTGTGTTGATTCGAAAGATCGAGATATTAGAATTGAAAAGAAACGTTGAAAATGTTTTCGCAAGAGTTTGTTCTACCAGAACGTTAGATAGTAAAAAAGATTGGAAAAAGGATGTTGCGTGGAAGAAACAATCTATAGAATGAAGAACATCACATATATGTATGTAAAAATGAATTCAATATATATATATATATATATATTATAATATACTATATTAAGTGTAGAAAAAGAGAAAATTTGGAAAAAGTATATTCGAAATTCATACCCGAAAAAAGTCTCGGATTCATACCCGCGGTATCACGGGTTCGAATCCTGCCAGTTTGCGAAAAATAACATTTAATTAATATTATATAAATATATTATATACATAATATATAATAAATAATTAAATAAATAAAGAATGATGAAAAAGGTATTCCTCCATAGTATTAGGTATAAATAATGACCGATAAAAAGGAAAAAGTTTGTAGATACCATATATATATATATGTGATATGTAGGTATGTAAGTGTATGTAAGTATACATGTATGTAATTACCTCTTGTTGTCGAATGCCTGCAAAGATGAGGTCGAGGCCTTTCTGAATTTCTTCGCCTACTGGCGGTGGCGTGGGAATATGTTCACCGGACGCGTGAAAGCCAGTTTCATCCGCGGTATAATGAATGGTGATCAACTGGCCCTCAGGACTCATGTAGGAATAACTCCCCTGTTGTACCAATGCCTCAGTTCGATCCGCACCTTCGCCTACCGTTTTGATGTAACCACTCTCTTCGGCAATGATATTATTCCCAGTTTCGTAACTACAAAGTGGTAATATCATCGTGAAACAATTTAAATGGAGTTAAAACTGGTTTTGTTCATGTTACTACTGGTTATTCACGAATACCATAAGATTTAAGGTGAGGTTTTTATATTTCTTACTTGGTTGTTGTTGATTTTTTTTTTTTTTTTTAAATTAAACGATTAAAATTTTGTGTAACGATGCATACCTAGTTTTATAAGTTCCATCGTGTTCCTGTTGTTTGTTCCAATGTAAAATAGGAATTGGTGTTGTCGTTGAAAAACGTCTTCCATCGGTAGCAGCATTTTGTCGTTCATCTTCTTGATAATTGTTACGATAATTTTGTTCTTGGGCTATTGCCAAGCCCAAGATCATCATTAATATCTAAAAAAAGAAATGTTAAAAAATTATATTATTACTAGGATATTTCTTTTTTCGTGATAATTGAAATATTTATTATACAAATATTAAACCTAACGTAACAATTAAATTTATTCCAAAATTTAAACACAAATTATTTTTTATAAAATAATTATTAATTATTAATAATTAAAAAATATTACATTTTTATTAATAACTATTAATTATAAAAATAATACATAATATATACATATATCTTTTTATGAGATGAGAAGTAAAGAGAATGATTGAGATAGAAATAGAAAGAGAGAGAGAGAAAGAGAAAAAAGGATGTTACGTTAAAAGATCATCATCCCATTCCTGGACCAGAAACAACGAAGCTCCCAAGACGCTCTCGATGAGTGAAAGTGAAAAGTAAATGCCAACGTGGGTCGTTTAACTCCTGACCCGCAAAACTCTGCCCGACCCATCTCTCTCTCTCATCTCATCTTTCTTTTTTTCTTATTCGTTTCAACTCGTTATTACATTTTTCTTTTTTTTTTTTTTCATTTTTTTCCAATCTTTATAATCAATCATTACGTATACCATTTTAATCGATAATATTTCTTCTTCTTATTATTTTTTTATTATTTATATTATGAATGAATTACGTTATCTCGTATTTATACAGTATCATCTCGTGAAACTATACTTTCAAAAATATATCTTGAAAATTAAATAGTGAAATATTCAATAAATTTATTATATGTTATTGATATAACATTTATGTGATCTATTATTATTATGATTATTAAACAATTAATTATTAAGCAATTAGTATTATTATAATTATTAGTATTACAATAATATATATTATAATATATATTACAAGTAATTATTGTTATTTATTGAATATCAAATTGTATAGAGGAAATTGGATAATACAAAATGAAAAAAAGGAAAATAAAAAAATGATCAATGACTTCAATCAAGATATTATAAAAATAATAATTAAATAAGAAACCAAAATCTTAACTTACCACACTTTTCTTCATTGTATTACGAATGATTGAAGATTCAAAAATAATAAAAAAAACAACACTTTGATTATAAGAAACTTCAAAAACCAAAAACAATATGATTCTCAGCAAAAGAATCTTATCGTATAAAATGAACGAAGATACTTTCAGGTGAAACACAATCTTGTGCTATCCAGGGAGAGTAAAGAAATCCCCTTTTATACCAACTCTCACTTTACCCCTACTCAAAGAATCTTCGGCCATAAAGGATTCTCTTCATGTGGTTTATGTTTAAGTATTGGTATTTAACGTAGGTATACGTTTGATTACTTTTATGTATTAGTATATATGTGGGAGAGTCGTTTCCTGCGAAGATCGAACCTAGTTACCTGAAGAAGCTAAACACTGTGAGATACTACCATAGATGACCTTAGACATAGTTACGATACTGATTTTTTAACGTATTAGTTTTATTCTCTTTTAAATCATTCTAAACTCATACGTTTTATTTCTATCTCATTCTATTATGAAAATATATCAATATATATACATATATATAATTATTATTTTGAATATGTGTGATGTGTGTGTGTGTGTATTATATTTTATATATGATACTTTTTATGTGTATGATATATATATAATTTCTTATATATAATATATGGTATAATGTATTATATTATATAATTTATGTAGTAATATATATTATATAGTATATATTTATGTAGTAAGTTATATTATATAGTAAATATACTCTAACAATTTATATTATACAATGACAAAAATTTACACATCATAAATCATTTTTATTCGAATAACAATATGATTGAATTCTAATTTTGGTTAATTACATTTATATATACAACAGTTATATCATTTTTCTATATTTTCCACGATAGTCGGAGGTCAGTTCGTGATGTTAAGTAATCGGAATTACGCAATTTTACGGGATGAGTTCAATTTCCCGTAGATTATATCTCAAATAGCATGAAAAATATTATTTATATGCACACGCATAAGTTACTTTTAACTTATACTGTTTATTCGAATATTCGTAAAAGAAAGTAAACGTTGTTTTATTTTCTTTTTATTATTATTATTTCTTTCTTTTTTTTTCTTTTTTTTTTTTATGTCACTGTCATTCGGTATACACCCTAATTCTTGCGCAAACGCATAGACGCACGCGTTAAATACTTTCACAAGATGGGTTTCCTTATGTCGTTTCTGGTTGTGTATTTGTTTATTGCATAAAAATTTTGACATTTTATAGGGTCCTAAGAAATTTATTTTTAT